ACGGTTTTGGAAGATGGTAGGCAGTCTATCTGTTTTCTTGTTGTGTCTGGTCCCCTGCTCTCTCCTGATGCTTCTTCTCACTTAACCGGGCCCAGCACAGGATCCTCTTGAAAGGCCTTGTAGCTGCCAAAAAGATGTTTACTCCACTCGCTGTCTCACCAACAGTTGATCTTGACATTTGTTGACAGTGAGTATATGGAGAGTAATAGTGCTATGAGCCAATTAAAGCCAAAAAAGGTTTTGTTTCTTTAGTGTTGTATAGATTTTCTTAATTTATTTAGGTTTTTTCTGTCTCAGATGTGTTTGTTTGTTCTTTTAGAAAAAAAAGAAAAAAAGCACCAAACAAATTCAATCTATATAAAGCGGAAAGAGTAATAAATTGTGAATTAGTGACTAGGCTCTGATATGAATTTGTTACCAGTTGTCATCAAGCCATAAAATGCAATATGATAAAGTAATAGCATTAAAATGTCTCTTGAATTATTGCAAATACATAATTATATATATGATATACATATATACATTTATACCCATACATACACAGGGTATATAGCAGGGTTCATCGCGGGCCCCTCCTTAACCTTGACGCAGATTCACTTCCCCCGCCCACGCTGCTCGCGCCTCTCTGACCCTTGGCTCTGGACACGCTTCCTGACGAACGACCCTGGGGCCTCTAGATAAGTTTCATCTATTACTGTCAGAAAAGTATTCAAGCTTTGATGTGGAAGGGGAGTACACACAAATAAAACACACTGAGGAGAGGAAAGATGTGCTGTTGTTTAGTGTTTGGCATGCCTCGTTATATAATAATATTCAGCTTACGGTTTTATTTAGCATTCTGAGGAGCTTTTTCCCTTTCAATATATACAATTCAGGATTTAGTTTTTCCCTTTAATGAGAGCAGTAATGTTAGTTCATTCACAATTGTAAAACGACTGAACAAGATTAGCAACTCATTTATAGTAACGTTTTAGTTCTCAGTTAGAAGATCCTCCCTTTAATTTCTATCGCAAAATCTAAAGAAATATATATTATTTTCCAGGCAATATCACTGATCATTTAAGAATATTTATGGTACAATGCATAGTTGGTTTAAATCACTGGCTAGATGATGGACTGGCTTGAGTCCATATAAAAAATAAGAAAATTCCCAAAAATAATTAAAGCATGTGGAACCTTTCGGTCTCAAATCAAAATTAAGATGTGATTCCCATGTGTGTGAGATCAAGTAGAGACAGAGACAGCCTGTCCGGTACAATGTCATCTTTTCAATCCAGACAAGCAAACAGGAAAAATACATGAATAGAGCAAAATGTTCAGATCCTTTTGGCATTTCTGTTCGACACTGATCCTGGCTGGCATAAACTCAACGACGCTGCAGCTGTTTTGAAAGTCTTTTTTTAAAGGAGGAGAGCGGAGGAGTTTGACCTACATGACGTTTCCCTTTCTCCCTCATTCCTGAGCCATAAACACACGGGTGTGAAGGAGACTCGCACCAAACACAAATTCATGGTCAGGCATCAGAGAGGAAACGGGTCAGCACAAATGCTACATCGAGGGATAATATACAGGAGAGCTGATTGTGAGGGCCAAGGCTTCAATCCTGTTATTCATCCATTGTAAACATGTTAAATCACAAAGCAGCTGATGTCTATGAGGTACGCTGCAGAAGTAAAAAAGGTATATGCTGAAACCCACAATTCTCCACTCGTGTGTCTTATTTTCCACCCGAGGCTCGAGTAATTAGGATTCACAGGAACATTCTAGCACATTTCAATGGATTGCAAATGTGATCTCATGTTTGGTATTGGAACAAACAAAACACGGTGTTCCACAGGACCTACATCTGTGGAAAATGCTCAGACAAATCAGTCAATCCGTATAATTAAGACTTATTCGTCCCAGAGTGGGGAAATTTCAGTGTTGCATCACCAGTTACATAAAAGTAGGAATGAGTCGCACACAGCACAAGATAATTTAACGATTACTCTATACTAAATACATTTCTAACATCTATCTTTACCATAATGAGAACAAAAAACTTTCGGATAATAAAGAAGTATAAAATCTCTTATTATCTATGATTCATGATTAATTCCAAACCCTTTGCACAAACCATACACAAGTCAGTATATTACACTTTTGTAATGTGGAGACAATGGATGTACTTCCTGCAGGTGAAACTAAGATATAACAGCTGATGGCCGAAGCTTTCAGAAGGACACCCCACCCCCAACAGAGGGATCAATGGACATAAATGGGAGAGGTCATGGACCTTTGACATCTGTGTGCAGTGGGGGAGGGGCTCTGGGCTTTGTGCAATTGGCTTTAATGATCCAATTGTTGAATGTGTCATACGCCTTCATACAGTAAATACAGTCACGTAGAACGGCAATGCTGAAGTCAATGAGCCGGCGTCTCCTGGGATGACCTCCACTCTATAAATTGACTCCAACGCAATTATTTGGGTTGTCAGTAGATGCCTTTTACAGATTCATGTAGGGTCAATATTCTAATTGCCTATGGACGAAATGAACCTTGGACACCACTTGTTAACACAAATATTTGGCTATAATATGCATTTAAATGACATTCTGTATATGGCCAATGCTTTTGCACCCATGACATGGCGTTTGCTGAGAGATGGTTCAATTTAATGCCAAAGCACTGGGAGAGAACGTCGCAGTCTGGTAACGTTTTGGAGAAAAGATTGATGCACCTTGAACCAAATGTACCAAAGCTGCCTGATCAATCAGTACAAGGAGAGGACAAACCTATCCGTGCATCCTTGCAAAATGTTTTATTAATCAAGGCTCTTATGATCTGGCTTACTGCGTTAGCTGAGGGAAACATTTGCTGGTAATTGGGGGAAAAATCATCTGGGTTTTTTGATTGATAATCGACTCATGAACACAGTGTTCCTGGCTTTTCGTCTTCAATAAATATGTTAAAAGCATTATTTGGAACTCTAAAACTCACAATCATTTTTAATGAACAATGACGGCAGTATTGTTACGTCATGATAAACAAACAGGGACTAGAGCACATTATGTTCAATAACATTAAGAATGTCCAAAAGCCAACTTTAAGGTGAATTGTTTTATTCTATTACATTTAAAGTGCATAGTGACTGAATATTTGGATAGTAACAATAAAAGGGAAAGAGCCTATTTTCAACACAGTAAAATCCAAAATATAATGAAAAGCTTTATCTTGAAATTATCCGACATAAACTAGTGAAAACCTTCCTAAATAAAAAAAACGATTACATTACAAACAAGTACATTACAGTTTGTTTGTCTTGTGTTGTTTAAATCATTAGTCAATATCAGCTTTTTCCTAGGATCAAAACTGACCTTGCAAAATTTGAATTGCTAAAATTGTATATAGATGAAAATAAAAGAAAACGATATATATGTCAAAATAAGGGGAAGAAACCATAAAGTACAGAGCAAATCAGTCCAAAGCACTAATCAGTCCCAGAGGAAGGGATCCGCACCAGCTGTTGCAAGGATCAATATTTAAAAATGATATGTTTTGGTTGAGATAAAGTGAACCCTCTTATTGGAAATCAATTGTTATATATGTGTTTTAGCAATGGCCCGGCATGGATCGGCTCCACGTCGCACCCCGGTTGTCATAACAAAGAACAATAATGTAAGGTGTGAGGATAACAAATGTAGCCTTGTTTCGTGTCAGAATAAATTCTCACAGGAAAAATACAAACAAACAAAAGGACAACTGGCTAAACATGTGGCTCGGACCAAAAGAGAAAACGGCAGAGCTCAAAATAATTGTGAATCATAAATCAATGTGTTGTCCTGGAAACGCGTGTGCAAATGGGAGTGATTTAGGCTTTAATGTGAGAAATGTCAGCTCGTATTTTTAGAAAACCACATCCTTGAGAATCACAGTAGGTCGTCTATAACGCAGTGGAATAGATAAAAAATCGTCATAACTACAGCGGGTTACTGAGGTCATTGGGGGGCCATGATTTGGATTGGATCACAGAACTATAGGACATTTTAATAAAGGATTACATGTAGAACAATACATTAAAAAATAAATAATAATAAAAACACAATACAGAGTAATTATAGCTGGAGTAACTAATTCAACTGCACAAAGTAGAGCTACAAATACCAAAAACCTTGCCTTTGCACACTCTATAATAAATACATTATTTTAGAGTCTATTATACATTTAGAGCAGCTTTTCATACGGACAGTCGAGATAAGCGGCATGTCTCCGCTCTGAGCCCATAGTTCATGTGAAAGGCTTTTACTTTTATACAATTTCAAGTATCCTAAGTTTCAGGAATATGGTTACAATATTGTTTGAAATCGTTATTGTCATTGCAGTGGGTTTCAGGGTTTTAGAAAGGAAACCCCTGCTCATCTCCTAAGATAACAAAGAATGATTACAGATTTGGAAGCAACTTAAGTTCAAGAAGAAATATGACAAATACAGCATGTGTAGGAAAGTATGTCTACGACTGTGGAATGACCACATTTTGGGTTTTAACAATTTTGTTGGTTTTTTTTTTACAGCTGAGGCAAATGTCTCTGGAAATTAGATTTAAGGACCTGTAATAAAGCAATAGGCTATTTGAGAGTTTGTAGTAAAAACCTGGTCCAGGTTCATCATGATTTAACTCTGAAGTTTAAACAGTCTTATTTTAATGGTTTGATGTATTTTAATATTTGACTTAAGTATATAATATCTGACCGAAGTAAAGTATAGTAATGGGTCATTACTCACTCTATACTCTATAACTCAATGATTCTCAATGGAGCACAATATCTGGTTAAGGTAATTAGGGGTAGGTAAATCCTATGAATTATCAATGTCATCCAGTCACAATAAACTACAGTATTGAGACTGTGCTTGCTAAACCAAAACCAAAATAAGATGTCTCCTTCAAGGCTAAAGGGAGCAGTGTCGTCTGTGGGCACGAGCGGTGTCACAAGCCCCTCACTTATCTCCTCCCAGATTAAGTCCTAATTGTTTGTGAAGAAACAATGGTGGCCAGTGAGGAAACCAACCCCCAGGGGCCAGATGGTCAGCTCAAGAGCCCCCCTGACCCTCAGTGACGTGGGCCGCGCATGCTCTGGAGCCGGGCCACCCAGCACATTCAGCAGCGCGCACATTGACTCTGAAAGGGCCCAGCTCAGTGTGATACTGTACAACCTGTTTGCCCCTAGGCTTAAGGTCAGCACAAAAGCTTGACTATGAATTTGAGCAATGTGAGAAATGCTGACGGGGTTATCTTTGCCTCCTCGCCTATTGATCTGTGAAATTACACGTTTACTGTGTTAAGAGACTGTCTTTGGGTTCAGAATGATTTAAATCTTGTGCTGTTGTCATATGAATGAACAAAAACACATCTTTTGAATAGAAAGCACGCAAAACATTACATATGAAGAACGCTGAAACCCATGTGTTTGTTAAATACAAACACAATACAAATGCCATACACAATGAAAGATCTTTGAGAATAAAATCAAACTAAAACAATACTATGGTAGTTATTAACAGATGCATGATTAGTACTATATTTACAATTTCTATTAACCGTAGGCATAAATTATTACCTAAAGCCAAGGTAAATGTTTCAGCAGTATTTACAATAACAACCATACGTCTGCGTGGTCCCTGCTTTTATCTGATACAGGTTTATCTGTTTCCACATGTGCCCCCAGCAACTATCACTCAGACAAACGGAGAATGTGGCTGTGGCTCAAGGTATAGTCTACAAGACATGCCTCTGTTAACAATGATTAATCAGGTCATCAATCACATAATGCCTCTGATCATTTCCTGATGGTCTATCACTTCCAGACCCAAAATGGGATTCAAATCAAACGTTGATTGCTAAATAAGTTGAGGATTATTTAAAGAATCGATTAATCCCTATTGAAACCTCACAAATACATAAACATGCTGAGAAGAAGAATATGACTTTCATGGCAAAATTGCAGAATTAAATTAAAAGTATTTTTAATCAAACAACCCAATGTGTCACAAGTCATCTTTGAGCTTTGTTTTGATCAAATGTATAAATCTCAACAAGTAATCGATTAATAAGAAGAATAATCGGCCAATACATTATCCAAATTATCGTTACTTGCTGCCCAGTATTAAAATAGATCGTTTATAACATAACATAACGTTCTGGCCCAATTGGCAACTTGTTGAATGGCCAGGCTGCAATGACTTCAAATATTAGCCATATATGGTTATTGTGCTTCTTGAATGGAGCCTGTGCAAGATTAAGGTAAACAGAAGAGTCAATAGTGACGTTATTACACAACTAGGACGTAAACATCAGCGACAGGTAACTTCAAACCCCCAAACCTTCACCAGGGCAGCCAGTGCGCACACGTGAACGCGGCATGCATCGTGACGCCGCTCTTCCAGACTTTAATGGGGGTAGAGAAGGCAAAATATACGAAGAATACTCACGGATATGGAGACGAAGGAGCTACACACGTCTGCGTAGAGTTCTGTGTGTGTGCGGCTCCGGTCATGCGCCTCCAGTCCGCGTTTCAAGCGTTGACCGCGGCACAGCTGATGGTCCACGCCGGGAGCTGGAGTGACGTAGACTGGATTAAGGCAAAAACAGGCAAATGGAATTTATAAAACACTCTTAATTAGGCTTATGTCACTTTGCAGGCTTTAAGAAATCTACACCACGGGTAAAGTTTAAAACGTTATAAAAAAGCTGGGGTACCTAAACCTTTCAAACCACAATGTTTTGATCATTAGTTTCACATCCATGTACTTTTTGGGCTCTTATCACAACTTTAGATCAACTTTTTCAAAGAGAAAAGTGAAAACGAAGACCCAACTTGCTGAACCAATCAGCTCTTAGCCTAAAGCGTCAAATAGTGACTCCCAGGGTCCTTTAGTACAAGAATGGAAAAGATAACTTGTTTTCTAATACAAGACGCGAAGTGTAAGCTGTCAACTTTTTAAATTATACATTTAATTAACGAATGATGATGATGGATCTATGTTGAAAACAGCAGTGATTACTCGTCTGTAAATTTATACAATTATAGCCAACTGGGATTACAATATTTCTGTTTCACAATTAATTCAGATGTACACAAACGTTTTTAATTAGTGATCCTGTTAAAGTTGTACGCAAAAAGTCTAGCTTATTGTCTAATATCTAGCGTATGGTCTTTTCCCAGGGAATCAGATCTGTAAATAGAGGAACAGCGCCACCTGTTGAGCAATAGAAGTTATACATTCTATCCATATTTAACACATAAGGACCATATAATAAATACAGAACGCAACTTATTTTCTACATTCAAACAGGTATAATTGATTGTATGTGGATATTTGGCAGAAATGGAGGCTATATAAAAATCAATTATTTCATTTATTTACATTTGGCATTATTGTCAGAAATGAGATGCTGTTATTTCTGTGATATCTGTCGTATCTCGTCCACTCTGTTGCGATGGAGCTGGAACGCTGGAGTGACCCACCGGCCACAGGAACACTGCTCACCGCACCAGTTAAAAGAGCCCAGTTTGGAGTTGCACTTAGGACACAAGAGCTGCAAAGGTAAAGAAAATAGATTATGGTTGGTCAATAATAATTTGCTCAGAGTGAAATATTGTGATTAAATTGGTAATATTAAAAAACATGAGAAGAATAACATAACATGCTTCTCATAAAATAAAGATTCATTAAGACATTAAGGTAGAAAACTAACATTGTAAATACCCGTAATTACAAACAAACTTAGCTGGTGTAAAATGATCTTTTTGATGTGTACCTGGCCATCCATGACTCCGAGTAATGCTGATTCCATCCACTGAACCGGCTCAATGAAATATGACGTACACTGCACTTGACCTGACAAGAACAAGGAGGTCATGCTGTGACATTACAGCTGCTTGATTCTTGCAGACTCTTACCTGACATATTAGAGGATTTCTTATGCTGGAAAGCGCCATCTCCAACTACGTGACTGAGGATACTCGAGTCACGGAAGAGGGTTCGTCTGCAAAACAAGATGATAATTAAATAATGTTATGAAATTGCCCTAGATGCAATTGACAAAGCAACATCAATTGTTTTACACATCATCATTTAGGACCAGGCATTTTTTTTAAATAAAATTAGAATCAAATGAACTGCAATCAATAGCCATCAATTACATTTACTATTGTATAGCCCTAAATCACAAAAGTGATTATCTCTGAGGACTTTACAAAGCTGTCAATTTGCTTGTTGAGGCGCTGTTGAGTAATCTCTCAATAGCAGCTCCAACTTCTTTAACTGCTCACTTTTTTTTCAAATGGTCAAGCACCAATGATTTGTTCATGCTAAATCGGGTTAAAACTTCCAAACGATTCAAATACCTGCATTTTCTGCAGCGGTATGTCACTTCAGACGAGCATGAATTGGCTGGATCAACCGCAAAAACCTCCTTTGGGACATTCTGCAACTCTATTAATATGGCAGATGTTAAAAAAGCATTAAACCGCTTTATAAACATCTATCTATATGTTACCTGGGAATTTCTCTGTGATCTTGAATAATCTGTATTGTTTGTAGAGTGGGGAGGATGTGTCCACTTCACACTGCATATTTTCATACAGGATTAACTGCTCCTCAAAGCCTGGATTGACTCTTGAAAATAATGAAAAGGGAAGTTAACGTTCTTTGCTGCCATAATATATTAAATAGACTTAAGTATTTATATTAATTATAGATTAAATAGTAGATTAAAAATGTAGACAGCATATAACAGTAAATCTAAATAAAACAGGTAGATCCAATAGCTGACATGAAGAATGTGATGTACAGAAACTTGGGGCTACAAAGGTGTGCTTATTTGAAATTAACAATATTTAATTAATTTAAATAATTAAATAATCTTACTGAACATCAGGTTTGAGTTTCTTCAGATTGTTGTATGCCTCAGAGAAGCTGATCTTAAGTTTCTTCATTAAATAAGCGGTTACGACAGTAGCACTGCGACTCCGACCAGCCTGACTGACACACACAGAGCCACACACATTAGAGAAAGCCTCTCTAGTAAATGAGGAAAGAAATTGTCTCGTTTGATTTTTGTTTCCCTGTAAAAGCAGAATGTTCCACACTGAGACTGCTCTTTACAAACTGTATTAAAACATTAATATAATGTTTTTCATCTCTCGTAAACATGGAATAATTTGAGTTTGACTGATGGGTTGCACATTTGTAGTTCGTATTCCATGGTGTGAAAATATTCATGGTATAGGTGTTACGGTTATTGAATACTGAATTATTGTATTTTCAATGTCAATGGTAAACATATTTCTGATAGGATATTACCACTGTTAGTGGGGCAAGGACTACATTTGCTAGGTTCTGTTCTGAAATAAAAAGAATATGGCGAAAGGGATCGTGGCCCAAATAGCCTTCGAATAAATAATTGAATCTGCAGCTTGAGAGTGTCCGGCTTTCTTCAAACTGCCCCTCAGAAAAAGTGGTATTCATTACTTTCTTCTTCTAACCACATCTTCTTACCAGTGCACCAGCACAGCACCACCACCGTCCACAGCCCCTTGAATAAACAGGAAACATTGGTCCAGGTGACTGAGGAGATCCGCAGTGACCTCATCCAGAATGTGGATCCACTTGGTACAGATCCCAGAGTCCGGGGGCAGTGGAGGCTCCATGCAGTCCACTGTCAGAACATGAGTGACCCCTGCATCCAGCAGGCTCTGTCTGTCATTGAGCTCTGCTGCAGTTCCAATGTACAAGCCGCTGATCACCAGCAGCATGGCTGAAGACAAGGTAAAACAAAAGAAAAAGAGATTAGTTTTGGAATTCATGCTCTTTCTACTTAAATTAACCATATGTAAGATTATAATATTAAATGATGTATGAATTATTTGTGAAAACCAAGTCGATTATCATTTGGTTTGTCATCTGTTGCGTGTGATCTTTATAATCCTCAGCACCAGCAGCATAAGAGCTGGAGAAGCAACATGTATTTTCTTCAAGCAGATCTACCACCGGCAGCAGCAGGCCCGTCCTAAGGGCTGTGCGACCTGTGCCGTCGCACAGGGCCTCGCACCACACAGGGGCCTCGCAATCTTCCTTCCTTTTATTTTATTTTATAAATACACTAGTTCAAGGGTCCCCAAAGGGCAGACTGCACTCCAAATTTGGAACCCTAAACCCCTTTCTCTGGACCTCTTTGATTTCGTTTGATCAAAAGAACATTTTTACAAGTAAAGTCAAATTTTCACCAAAAGCGATTTGTAAACAGGCAGGCGCGCGGGCAGCTATGTATGCAACGGGTCCTCCGAAAAAACTGTCAGATAACTTTAGCAGTGTCTGAGTGAGATACAAAGAAAGTAACGGGAATGATCGCAGTGTAGGAGAGATGGATACTCGCGGAGGAGGAGCAGTGAGACAGGTGTGAGCAGAGGAGCAGACCCCTTTGTGTGAGCAGAGGAGGAGGAGGAGGATCAGCGGTGTGACAGGTGTGTGAGCGCTGCTATTGCCAATGTTTAGTCCGAATATCCACATCAAAAACATATTTTTAAAAGCATTAGCAAACACACTGTATGTCTAGCTTTAGCTAGCTGGAGTGTTTTTGTTGTGGTCAGAGTGTGTGGAGGAGGAGGTGAAGAGTATTTTGTTGTTGTCAGTGTGGAGGAGGAGGAGCGTATGTTGTCAGAGTGTGTGGAGGCATGGCAAAAACGTTATTTGATGAGAAAAAAATAATATTGACTCCGCCTCATAGCCATTTTGGCGCATTTTGCCAAAATCTAACTATTAGAAGAAAAAGACTCCTTTTGGTTCAATCTTTTGAGTTGCTCTACCATTTTGCCACAGGACGAAAGAGACATGTCAGCTAAAAAGACCGCGACCAATATTGCACGTAGAGTGTGTGTGCGTGTGTACGTGCGCGCGCCAAACGCTGCATAGGAGCGAAGACACTCGGTTACGCGCGTGCTGATCTCGTCAAGCACCGCGCGAGGTGGTGCTGAATTCATGTCAAAGATTATAACAGGAAAAACTTTCCTCAGATCTGGGAAAAAAGTGTCAGGGCAGGGCCTCGCGTTTCGAGTTCGCACAGGGCCTCGCACCCCCCTTGGGACGGGCCTGGGCAGCAGTAAGTAAACCTGAAGGCAGATTTGGCATACTACGTCACAATTAGTCATGCCAGATTCAGAAGTGATATTATAGCAAAAACAAAACACGTTTCTATCAAACAGTAAAACAACATCGATGGCACTAATAAACCACCTTCGGTGTCTCAACACATGAGGGACAGACAACCACGAGGGACACAGACGCATCTTTCCTCGTTTATAATTTCAGATTAGCTGACAGCATTTTAATCAACGATGAAAAATGATAACAACAATAATGTTTCCCACCGCAAGTCTGCTTCTTCGTGTCTGACCGGGTCTATTATTACATAAAAATTTCCAGTACACTCTAGAAATAACTTTCAAGAAGAAATAACGCTAACCCAATAAAAGAGAGAAAACTACATTTAAAGTTGAATACTTTCAGAGTGTGGAGAAGAGCATGCAGCCGTCAGCGTATGTGTACGTACGGGAAACAAACACAACTGCACATGGTTCCGGCATATTAACACACGCACAGACTACATGCGGTTCACACTCTGGTCTAGCCAATTTTTACAAATAGAGAAAAATACACGGTTCATTTTTTTTTTGTTTTTTTTAAATATGGTAAAGCGTCAAGTAACTTTCACGTGAGTATGTATACAGTCTATGGGCTGCACCTGGGTCAATTTCGACTGTATATAAGTCAATATATCAAAACTGCAGGTGTGTTACAGTTGCTTACAACTAGTTACAATTATTTCAACACCATTAAAGAGTTATCCAACTTTAAAAGGAATATATTACAGAATCATAGTTAATTTTGTAATGAGTTACTCCCAAAATTGAGGACTTATTTTTATTTCACCAGATGCCTTTTAAATGTCATCATGTCTGTCAGATGCCTGAATAAGCCTGGTTTCTCCCACAGTCTTTGTTTTTTCACACTGTGTGGCGGGAATAAACTTTTACAGGCTGCTTTAATTACTCTGTCTGCTCAATAGGAATGCCCAATTATGACCAATGAAATTAAGAAATAGTCGCTTTAGGGGGAAAAAAATGTCCTCATACACCCTTTTCTACTGTAAGCCCGAGCTGTAAGCTATACTAAGATGTATACATTGTTTTTTCCAGCAGAAATGAGTAAGGGTAACTTCAATTTAGACCATATGAAATGGACTATGATGTTTTTAAGCTGAAAAGATCGTGTTTAGATAAAAAAATAGATAGAAACTTTATTTTTATTTTTCAAGAAATATGCTTTGGTTACCGACATTGGTTAGTTTGCACATATAAAATACAAGAATGTAGGGATGAAATTCAGATTTGGTCTCTGACTGGCCCATGATGGATCTGAGCTTTATTGTGTTGTTTATTTAAACAAATACTGCACTGTGAAAGAAGTCCGGGAAAATCTAGGAAATTACATGTATTCGGCTCCTGGGCCGATCATAACAGATCTTACATGGAACATGATTTGTGTGCCACCTGCCTCTGTCTCTATTAAGGATTTTTTTTTCTTCAATTTATAGTGCATTGCTTTAAGTAGAATAAGACCTGGCTTGCATATCATTGACGTATAGGCCTATAGTAACATGTTAAAAATTGACAATAGATCTGAACACGTCTGCTGCCATCTTTGTGAACTCTGATGTAATGCGGCCAGACTTTAGTGTGGTGACATTTCTATTGTTTTCAAGGGCCTTAAATGTGGCTGACACTACAACAACAATGAATGGAGGTCCATGTGGCATTCATGTAATCATTATTTATTTTGGAAACGTTAAGCCCTGTCTGGAACAAGTCACAATTGCTCAGGAATGTATTAAATTAAGTGTCGTCTGCGTAACCCAGTCCCAATGACTTCTTTTGTAATAGCTGGGCGGATTAGGTGAATAAGGGCTACAGTATAAGATAGAAAACAGTGTCACATCTTCCTGTGGTTTGTTTATTGGCAATCTAACGGGACAAGTGTGTGAGGGGGTGTGCTGTCACTATGTCCAGTCTGATGCTTTGTCTCAAATATAAAAGTCCTGTGAGCATCTCGCTTGGACAGAGACGAAGAGGAGAGCTGGAACTTTGTCGTGGAAGATGATGAAGATGAGAATGATGCACTTTCTGCTGGTTGCTTTGGTGGTGGGCTTTGTGGATTCTGCAAGACCAGGTGATATGAATATTTTGTTAGATGATGTTTGATGACCAGAGCCAGGCATTATTTCAAAATTTTCAATGCACAAATTCTGATCTGAATGAACAACTTACATTATTCAATATTACTGCCGCTGAACTATGTGCTGGGGTAAAAATGCATGACATAAAAAACCTACACACTCTCAACCTGTCTCTGGCCGCAGTCATGATCACATTAATTGAGGCTTTCGTCTGTATGTGATGCACGGAGCGCTTCTTTAAGACCAGGATTGTGTTAATCAGATGTGTGTGCTTGGCCTTAATTAATTGCGATTGAATTGAAAACACAAGTTTGGTGGATGCAATTTGTAAATCACAAAGACTTATGTCCCTTACAAGAACAAAATCTGCATACAAGGACAATGAATATTCTAATTGATTGAATTGATAATACAAATAAAAATATCTTGATTTTTGTGTAATTTGACTGAAATTACTTCAGTGGGAAATAGCTTCTTTTTTATAATGATGTTAATACTCAAGTTTCTTTGGCTTTATCCCAGAAGATCACCCGAGTATACATATATTTTCATTTATAAGCCCTAGCAGCAACCATATACTCTCTTCTCTCTAGCACAGTTGTTTATTTTTGCATGCTTACTAAATGTTACACATATCAAATTGCAATCAGAAAGTTAACTAGAAATATGATAACATTATTTACAGAATTCCTGCAGCTCAGCCCCAGTGTGTACAAGTGTGAAGTGAAACAATTTACTATTTTCATCCATGTGTGTTTTATGACTGGATTCATTGGTCTTTATATCCTTATACTGTATGTTCTGGCTGGTTTTAGGAAGTTGTGTGGGCCGTTGTGGTGAGGCCTTCTCCAGGGGACAGCCTTGCAGTTGTGACCTGCGGTGTGCAGCTCACAATGAGTGCTGCCAGGACTTCCAGCCTGTGTGCACCATAGGTATGGCATTAAAAAGGTAAAGATGCTTCCATAAATATATGTTTTTGAATGTTTGTTTTTGTACTTCTCAGCTCAGTCCTGCAAAGGGCGCTGTGGTGAGCCTTTCACTCGTGGACGGTTGTGTAACTGTGACCCTCAGTGTGTCCAGTTCAACACCTGCTGCCCTGACTTTCAGCTACAATGTGGTACAGCTTTTAATATGGGTTTGATTCATTATTATTATGTCTGACTTTACCCTAACCCTAACAAGTTGATGCAGTCCCTCCTCAATCATCCAGGAGTGTTCCATTAAAAATAGTTTAAAATTAACATGGACAATGTTTTGTAACCAAGACATTCATTCTTCCAACCAATTGTGCTGGAAAAGACATCACATTTGAGGTGATTTACAACCCTGTACAGGGGTGTAATTGTCAGACAGAAAACAGGTTTACAAAGTCCCAAATGCCTCACGTAACAATAAGCTGAAACCCAATATTTTCTAAAGTTGACTGCCTGCAATCTGTTCTTGTTCAGATTCCAGATTATCGCAGCAGAAAGGGAATGTTCTTCCAAAAGGCACAACTAGAGGTGAGATCAGCTACATTTAATCAAATATCATGAATTCTCTAATAACACTTTTAGTAGGGAATAATAATTGAATGGTTTTATTATGGATATTTTCCAGGTACTCCTCGCCTATATGGCAGGCGGTGGTCAAACAGTGAAAGTGAGGAGAGGCTTTTGTGTATGTGGATTTTAAATGCATTTATTTTTAAAAACACAAGCCATTTTGTTTTCTAATCTTCTCCTATTTTCCTGTCTGCAGTAACACGGCACCCTTGTAAACCAGGGGCTAAGTGTGTTGTAGCCTCACCTTCAAGACCAGTTGCACAAACAACACTGATACAAGGTGAGATTTAGCATCGTGTCTGAATAAAAGCTTCTCCTTTAAATATATTCTCTTTACAGCTCATGTCCCTGTTCGGCCAGTCTACCCTCCTCCTCCTCCTCCAAGACCGGCAGGAAAAGTGGACTTCCATCTTGTCCTGTCTCACGCTGGACTGTCAGTGGCCAGACAAAACCCAGGTGGTACTCAAATCCTCCTCAGGTTCAGACAATCTATTATAGTGGTTCTCAAATGGCAGGTCAGGACTAAGGCCAAGCGCACAAGATTATTTTAAGTGAGTTGCCAACCATTGCCCAAATTAAGAAAAAGACAAATAAAAATCTTGGAATACTTGACTATAAGGAGATGTAATCACATGGTTATAATAGTTAGGATTAGATTGTCTTTTCATATGACTTTCATTTAAAAATGCTGTCTTGTATCTTTGACCTTGTCTAGCTTTGGTTGTCCCACCGGTTTTAAGGCCGAGACCAAACCCTCTTCATGAACTGGCTGCAGCCCTGGGGTGGTCTCTGCTGCCCGAGAGAGGTAAGGACAACCGCAGGTCTAAACCATGCCATGTACTTCATTAAGAAATTACAGTGTTTCATTTTGGTCAAACATATTTACCACCACTACCAGTAACTGTTACTGTTAAAGTTACTGTTAAGGGTCTGTTTTGCAACATCCTGCTGAATATTGATAAACTAAATATTTTTGTCAAGTAAAATTTAGACAGACGTAAATCTAAATGTAGATATACTTTCCCCTTTCTCCTCTGTGTGTGTTTGTGCCTTCATTTTGGTCATAATGGCAACAGTTGCTATGAAGCTTCTGCTGGCTCTTGGCTAAAAAAGTAGTCCCTTTCTGCAAAAAAAATTTTCAGAGTGTAGAGGCCAAAACAAATATTTTCTTACATGTGTGTTTAAACAACAGTAAGAGTTTTAAGCTAACAGTAACAGCAGAGTAACAGCAACAGTTATAGACTCTGCATCTAGCACTCACACCATACAACCGCACTTCTCCTTGTTGTTGGAACAGCACTTGACCTGGTACAGAGAAGTGGGTGGGGATAGGGGAAAGATGAAAAGCTCCAATCAAGCAATCAAAATGTATCTTAAGATGAAGAACATTACAACAGGTTTAAAAGTCGATGTTTCTGTTTCTGTGCAGGGTTGGTGGGGGACTTGTGCAGTGACGCTCCATTCAATGGACTGACCGCTCTCAGCAACGGGACGATTGTAATCTTCAAAGGTGAGTGGAATGTCACTTTTCCTCTCTTCATTTAAAGCTGAGGGACCTTTTTGTTTCATAAATAATACATGTTTTTCCCAAAAGAAAGTCTTGTAAAAGTGTAACAAGTGAACATACTGTCTTCATCTATATGGAAAGCATTTTATTCTTTTGCATACTTGTAAGAAAAGACCAGTGAGTCACCAGTGGACGCTTTAGGGGACACCTGATTGTCTAACTGAGGGAGGTCCTCTCTTTCTCACTTTTCCGTCTAAAAAAGCAGATCTGAAGATGTGACTAAAGACAATAAATACATGCAGGTGACAGCTAGTGATGGAACCAAACTGTTTTAGTGCAGGTAACTAGTCACGTGTATAGTTGGTGTATAGTTACATTGGCTTTAGCTAGGTACCCCAGCTTTTACTGTATACCGTCATATTGAGCCTTCAGACTGGTAATATTCCATCTTAGGAGTAGATAACAAAGAAACCATTAGATTTAGCAAGAAACCATTCACGTTCATTTGCAGGCGAGTCGTTCTGGACAGTGGACCCTGTGACCCACTACATCAGTCAGCCCTACAGCATCTCCAAAACTCTGGGCGTCCCTTCTTACATCGACACCGTGTTCACTCGAAGCAACTGTCAGGCTAATGTCTACATCGTTAAGGTACAGTCATGAAGTTAATCCTGGAATATGTCAAAATATTCACTCCAAAGCCAATAATGGGACTAAATATGGTTACTGCTAAATATTGCGGCTCATATAGTAGAAGTAATAAATAAGTAATGCATCTACTTTAATCTCTCTGGATCTTCTTTCAGGGGAACCTTTACTGGCGTTTGGACAGAAACCTGGTTCTTGAGGCAGGATATCCCAAACCTCTTTCCCACGAGTTTCCAGGACTAACGCCGGGACTCACTGCGGCTCTGTCAGTTCCTGGCACCGTGAGCCGAGCAGAGACGGTCTACTTCTTCAGGAGAGGTGCTTACGTAGCTGTTCAACATGAAGCCATCAAAGCATACAAATCTCACAGCTTCAAAGATTTACTGTTCTCCGGATTCTTGCAGGTGAAATCATGCAGCGTTTCACATTCCCGTCAACAAATATTCCTGCATGTAGCATCACTCCAAGAGAGATTATGAGGACAGGTCTGTGTCTCAAATCATTATATATACATACAGTAAACATAATATTATTGGAACTGGATCTGACATTTCCTTGTTTGTCCTGTAGAGGTGCTGCTGAGTCAGGAGATCCATATTAAGGTGTCTATGAAAGGTTTCCCAGTCCCCATCACCTCTGCCCTGACGGCCCCTGTCCCGCTGAAGGCTGACCTATACGAGCACTATGTCTTCACTGGACGTAAGAAATCTGATCTTTTGGTTTCCTGTAGTTTATTTTATTTGAGGGAAATGTTCACGCAATAATTCGGAGTATTAGAATTAATACGACTAAAATAATATCAAATCAAATTTATTTATAAAGCAAAATTCATATAACCCAAAGTTCTTCACACCCAATCAGACTTGTGGCCGTAAATCGCAAAACCTGCGATTAGTCACGTTCTTTGCAAACAAATAAGGGACTTCACATAGTTTGCATATTTGGGAAAAAAACGTCTCATTATTTTAGTTTATTTTGAAGATTTGTCGATGGTACAAGCTTCTATCTTGTGTTGGCTGGCAAAAACATTACTTAATTCAAATGAGACATCTCATCTTTTTCATAAATTATACAAACTGTTAGAACGTGCGCAACACAGTTCTTATATTATTCAAGATTTTGGTGAGGAAAATATCAAATCGCCTTAATTCAAGCATTTTTGTTCTTACTCCAAAGAAATGGTTGAATTACGTCTTTTTCTGAATTGTTTGGGATTTGGGTATTGAGTAATTGCTTCACATGTCTTGAAGCTGTTATTTTTACTAGGAACAAAATTACATTTTAAAACATACAGGATATTGAAAATCACATAACAATCACAACGTTGGTCAGAAATATATGTACTCTCTCTTCAGCTCTGTTCTTCAGTGTGTCGGTGGTTGAAGAGCTGCCCGCCCTGGTTGGACCGCATCATCCTCCTCCGGTGGTCCTGAGTCTCCCCGTCACCGTGGAGACCAGTGTCACCGATGTCATCACAGTGATTAAGGATCCTCCTCTTCCAGAGAACTCGCTCAGAGTCTGGCTTCAGTGTCCTGCCTAAAGCTGCAACCCACTGTAACATAATCATACAATATTAGCAGAAAAACTATTCCGATACCTTTATTACCTGGATGTGGGTACGCCCTGATCTATACTGCAGCTGTGCAAATGTTATACCACAAATAAAAATATGAAAAAGAAATCTTGTATGTAGTATGTCTAATAATGAATAATGCGTATACCAGTTTTGTAAGAAAGTTAAAGGTGAGACTTGAACCACTTTATATCTATATGGCAAGAATAGCATGCAATATTACCATAAATTGTGTTTAAGATTATATTTTCCCCATAGACATGTACAGCCATCATTTTTGTTTCTTTTTTTTTTAGTAAAGTTTATTAGTTGAGTTCAGGGCTGGACTGGCCATCGGGAGATGTCGGGTCTGTTTGTCTCATACACATTTTTTGTGTGTGAAAGTGTAAATCCGTTGAGAAATGTTCGAAGGGGCGGTCGTGTCCGCGGGGCACCTGCTGTATGTACTCGAACGGGATTCCACCACCTCAGCGGCCGCAGTGTTCCCGCATCCAGCGGCTCTGAGCTGGGCGCAGGAACCGCTCAACGGGAGCCGCTCACAACACAACACGGTGAGCGCGTAGCCGCAACGTGACCATGTACCCAAGACCATAAACGTGCACAGGACCATGCGTGTCTTTGCGTAATTTGTGCACCCAATAAATACGCCGCTGCAGGAAACATTCCGCGTCTCCCCTCTCCTCTCGAAGTGCGACTAAATTAAAGCTCGGTTACCTAAATTTTCCAAGTTCGGTAAAGTTAGCTTGATATTCACAGATTCGGACTTCCGCGGTGAATATCTTACGAAAGCTACGTTGTTAAACGAAAGTAATTGTGCCAAAATGATCACCTCTACATGGGCTAACTACTACAACATCGATTTTTCTAATCCAATGCGCTGTTTTAATACAGAGAAATCCATTGAATCCAATGCGCCGCAAGTGCCGAGAAAAGCACTTAGGGAGCGTCAACAAATGCCAATACCAGCTGTGTAAACGAACAATAGTTTTTATTTTAAGCCAAGTACACGCACTAAACTCTCAAATACTATAAATAGCTACCATATCTAACTACTACAACCTTTGTTTTCAGCATTTGTTTCTTTTTTGTATTTTTTATGAATAAATAGGATTTAATATGAATATGAATTTTGAATAACTTTTTTTCAAAGAGGGGCGTGGTCACCAAATTCTCAGGTATCATCAATAACTGCCATATCTAACTACTACAACTTTTGTTTTCAGCAGAAATATCTTTTTTATATTTTTTATGATTAAATATGATGAAATATTTCATTTCATTTCATTTCATTTTATTTATTCTTTTTTCATGGTAATGCAACATACTATACAATTGGAACAAATCAACAAACACAACAATAATACATTCCATGAAAAGAAGAACAGGAGTAGGATGAAGAAAAAAAATCTTATAAGCTCCTACCCCATTCTTTAAAAAAAAAAAACATTACAAATTAGATGGCCACACCGATGCCAAAAGATAACAATAGCCCAGACTAGATGTAATCAGCTTTCAATTTTAACAAGTTTCTTTCTTTTTTTCCCGATTATTATTAATAATTTTGCTAAAACAACAGTGATGCAATGGTGACAACAGCGGCGACGGGAACAGCGACGAGTCCATCAAACCACACAACGCACACCCACGTGCACATACAGGGAGACATGCACGGACACACACAGGCACACCCACAGCACACACACAAAAGGATGGAGAGGATCTATTGACGTATTTGTGATGAGCCCTATGCTGTGTGTTGCATTAAAAAAACAAGGTTTGAGTGGGCAGCTGTCGAAAGATGTTTGACCTCCCACAGCTGCCCGGCACCTGCTTGCCCTACATTAGTGATTGACAGAGTTGTGCCCTAAGATAGGTGTTGTGTTTAAAAAGACAGGAGTTAGCGGAAGTCCAGAGGTGCTACACCCCTGACATTCCCTCCATTCCTGCTCACCCTGTACTGAAGAGGATGTGTATATGTACTCGTAATGAGCCCTATGCTGTATGGTGTATTTAAAAAAGCGAGGTTTGTGTGGGCAGCTGTTGAGAGACGTATGACCTCCCACAGCTGCTCAACACCCGCTTACCCTGCACTGAAAATTTGTTCCTCTTTTGTTTTTTGTTTTTTTTCTTTTTTTTTTGCGTACTGTGAGCATACCTGTATACACCCATACAGACACACCCACACGAACACATAGGTACGCGCCACACAACTACTACAAACTTTTGTTTTCAGAAGAAAATATGACTACAAATCTTGAATAACTTTTTTTCAAAAAGGGGCGTGGTCACCAAATTCTCAGGTATAACCAATAACTGCCATATCTAACTACTACAACTTTTGTTTTCAGAAGAAATATCTTTTTTATATTTTTTATTATTAAATATGAATATGATTTTTGAATAACTTTTTTTCAAAAAGGGGCGTGGTCACCAAATTCTCAGGTATCATCAATAACTGCCATATCTAACTACTACAACTTTTGTTTTCAGAAGAAATATCTTTTTTATATTTTTTATGATTAAATATGAATATGATTTTTGAATAACTTTTTTTCAAAAAGGGGCGTGGTCACCAAATTCTCAGGTATCATCAATAACTGTCATATCTAACTACTACAACTTTTGTTTTCAGCAGAAAAATATCTTTTTTATATTTTTATGATTAAATATGATGAAATATGACTACAAATCTTGAATAACTTTTTTTCAAATAGGGGCGTGGTCACCAAATTCTCAGGTATCATCAATAACTGCCATATCTAACTACTACAACTTTTGTTTTCAGCAGAAATATCTTTTTTATATTTTTTATGATTAAATATGAATATGATTTTTGAATAACTTTTTTTCAAAAAGGGGCGTGGTCACCAAATTCTCAGGTATAACCAATAACTGCCATATCTAACTACTACAACTTTTGTTTTCAGAAGAAATATCTTTTTTATATTTTTTATGATTAAATATGAATATGATTTTTGAATAACTTTTTTTCAAAAAGGGGCGTGGTCACCAAATTCTCAGGTATCATCAATAACTGTCATATCTAACTACTACAACTTTTGTTTTCAGCAGAAATATCTTTTTTATATTTTTATGATTAAATATGATGAAATATGACTACAAATCTTGAATAACTTTTTTTCAAATAGGGGCGTGGTCACCAAATTCTCAGGTATCATCAATAACTGCCATATCTAACTACTACAACTTTTGTTTTCAGCAGAAATATCTTTTTTATATTTTTTATGATTAAATATGAATATGATTTTTGAATAACTTTTTTTCAAAAAGGGGCGTGGTCACCAAATTCTCAGGTATGATCAATAACTGCCATATCTAACTACTACAACTTTTGTTTTCAGCAGAAATATCTTTTTTATATTTTTTATGATTAAATATGAATATGATTTTTGAATAACTTTTTTTTCAAAAAGGGGCGTGGTCACCAAATTCTCAGGTATCATCAATAACTGCCATATCTAACTACTACAACTTTTGTTTTCAGAAGAAATATCTTTTTTATATTTTTATGATTAAATATGATGAAATATGACTACAAATCAATGGCAGTTATTGATGATACCTGAGAATTTGGTGACCACGCCCCTATTTGAAAAAAAGTTATTCAAGATTTGTAGTCATATTTCATCATATTTAATCATAAAAATATAAAAAAGATATTTCTGCTGAAAACAAAAGTTGTAGTAGTTAGATATGGCAGTTATTGATGATACCTGAGAATTTGGTGACCACGCCCCTTTTTGAAAAAAAGTTATTCAAGATTTGTAGTCATATTTCATCATATTTAATCATAAAAATATAAAAAAGATATTTCTGCTGAAAACAAAAGTTGTAGTAGTTAGATATGGCAGTTATTGATGATACCTGAGAATTTGGTGACCACGCCCCTTTTTGAAAAAAAGTTATTCAAAAATCATATTCATCATTTAATCATAAAAAATATAAAAAAGATATTTCTGCTGAAAACAAAAGTTGTAGTAGTTAGATATGGCAGTTATTGATGATACCTGAGAATTTGGTGACCACGCCCCTTTTTGAAAAAAAGTTATTCAAGATTTGTAGTCATATTTCATCATATTTAATCATAAAAATATAAAAAAGATATTTCTGCTGAAAACAAAAGTTGTAGTAGTTAGATATGGCAGTTATTGATGATACCTGAGAATTTGGTGACCACGCCCCTTTTTGAAAAAAAGTTATTCAAAAATCATATTTCATATTTAATCATAAAAAATATAAAAAAGATATTTCTGCTGAAAACAAAAGTTGTAGTAGTTAGATATGGCAGTTATTGATGATACCTGAGAATTTGGTGACCACGCCCCTTTTTGAAAAAAAGTTATTCAAAAATCATATTCATATTTAATCATAAAAAAATATAAAAAAGATATTTCTGCTGAAAACAAAAGTTGTAGTAGTTAGATATGGCAGTTATTGATGATACCTGAGAATTTGGTGACCACGCCCCTTTTTGAAAAAAAGTTATTCAAAAATCATATTCATATTTAATCATAAAAAATATAAAAAAGATATTTCTTCTGAAAACAAAAGTTGTAGTAGTTAGATATGGCAGTTATTGATGATACCTGAGAATTTGGTGACCACGCCCCTTTTTGAAAAAAAGTTATTCAAAAATCATATTCATATTTAATCATAAAAAATATAAAAAAGATATTTCTGCTGAAAACAAAAGTTGTAGTAGTTAGATATGGCAGTTATTGATGATACCTGAGAATTTGGTGACCACGCCCCTTTTTGAAAAAAAGTTATTCAAAAATCATATTTCATATTTAATCATAAAAAATATAAAAAAGATATTTCTTCTGAAAACAAAAGTTGTAGTAGTTAGATATGGCAGTTATTGATGATACCTGAGAATTTGGTGACCACGCCCCTTTTTGAAAAAAAGTTATTCAAGATTTGTAGTCATATTTCATCATATTTAATCATAAAAAATATAAAAAAGATATTTCTGCTGAAAACAAAAGTTGTAGTAGTTAGATATGGCAGTTATTGATGATACCTGAGAATTTGGTGACCACGCCCCTTTTTGAAAAAAAGTTATTCAAAAATCATATTCATATTTAATCATAAAAAATATAAAAAAGATATTTCTGCTGAAAACAAAAGTTGTAGTAGTTAGATATTGTAGTTATTGATCATACCTGAGAATTTGGTGACCACGCCCCTTTTAGAAAAAAAGTTATTCAAGATTTGTAGTCATATTTCATCATAAAAAATATAAAAAAAGAGGCAAATGCTGAAAACAAAGGTTGTACAAGTTAGAAGTGTTAGTTATTTATTGTGTCCTAGAGTTCTGTGCGTGTACATGGCTTCAAGTAACAGCTATTGTTCGTTTACAAAGCTGGTATTGATACTTGTTGACGCTCCCTATGCGCTTTTCTCGGCACTTGGATTGAATGGATTTCTCCGCATTAAAACAGCGCATTGGATTTGAAAAATCGATGTTGTAGTAGTTAGCCTAAGTAGAGGTGATCATTTTGGCACCATTACTTTCGTTTAACAACGTTGCTTTCGTGAGATATTCATGGCGGAAGTCCGAATCTGTGAATATCAAGCTGACTTTACCGAACTAATTTTCCATTGCATTAAAAGTTCATGTTTGAGCCCAAAAGTACAATGAAGGTTGTCACCATAGACATAAATCATGTCTTTGGTGACAACCATAGACATGATTTATGGTTGTCACCATAGATCATGTCTACCAAACACTCTTTTTCCTGGACTTTGTAAATGAGATGATCGCATTAAATGAAAGGGGAGTTTTATTGGTCCCAGTCTCGTAAAACACATTCACACACAGCTGTTTAAATATATTATTCATACACTGAGTGTTTCAGCCAGACCCTTCTGAGCAAATGCTCCATGGACCCAACTCTGTCACACAGTGATCCCAGATGTGTCTTATGACCCATTTGTGAACAGTAACTGACAGAGATTTGTCCATTGGGCAAATGCACAGTGTGGCCATCATAGAAACCACTCACACACACACACACACGCATGTACCAACCTTGACCCTTAAACGAGACAAGGTCGGTAAGTGGCTCGCCCCTTAACAGGTGAGACAGTATATGCCATACCAAATAGCCACAGCAGGCACAGCCCAGAAACTAGCTGTGACCACTTTCTTTGTGAAAGTTCACCAGAAGCCTCCTCCATTTTCCACTTCGACTTCAGGGACTTCGCTGGACTCCTCCATTTGCGCATAATGCCACACCTGGGTCTCCGCACCACACACTGCCCAGCGCTTCCTGCTTCTTTTCTTCTCCATGCTTCTTTCCTTCTCTAACCCAGTGCAGAGCTAAGCCATGTCTGCTTCAAGACAGAATGTGGTGATGTCACAAAAGTTACTATGGTAACCAGACCAAAGGTGTATGTTGCCACGGCGATGGGTAGAATCCAGAACATGACATGTTCTAAAGCAGAGGTCCGGGAACTTTTTAGCTGATGGAGCCAAAAAAAGTCTCTGATATTACACTCAAACATATTCACTCATATTCAGTCAGTCTCAAAAGGAATTCTGTAGAAATAAAGAAAATCAAAACTGTATTAACGCTGAGAAAACTGAAAAAACTGAAACCTGAAAGAAAACTTAATAAAACTTCCAGAAGCTCTGGTGCTCCACGATCCGTCTCTGTGTGATTAATTTTCCACACAAAAAATTAAAAATATACATTGGCATATGTTACTCACTTTGCTAGAAAAAAAAGTTCAGGATGAGTTTACCAGTGAAGTATTTTGAATTAAATGTCAAAACTGTAAACTTCGTCAAATGTATGAATGGCAATGGGCAATACGGACAAGAGACTCCACCATAATTAATTACTTTATTTATGAAACTTGTGTTTTCTGGGAATCAGTAACAGCATACAATCAGACAAGAACATCATAAAAAAACTAGGACAAACTTCAATAAGAAGCATAAAATAGAAAACTAGACGTTTGCAATGAACAAGATCACAAATGCATCGTAACTTCTCCTGCGTAGGGTTCATGCAGCACATTAATTTAAACAAGAACTGCAGCAAAAAAACTTTCACAAGTTCATCAAAAGAAGCCTCCTCTTCCCATGGAACCTCTCCCTCCTCGAGAGTACGCCCCTGGATAAAAACATAAGAGAAAAGTGGATTTGTCACCAGTACATTTTACGTTTGCATTATATTTAATCAAAAGAAAGAAGTAACACATCTGGGTCTAAAATTTCACAGAATGTAAAGACCCAAATTTGAATCTTGAGTGGTTTCTACTCTTACTGTTAAAAGAGACTCAAAAACCTTTTTAATACTTCAGGGCTTTAATTGCAGACGTTTTTGTAATGAACTAGAGAACCATGATCACAGCTGTAATTACCTCTACGGCTGATTAGCGTCCGGCCTTCACCCCTCCCTCGACCTCCTCGGCCCAAAAGGCTGGAGAACAGTGGCTGACTGGGCAGGGCGCGTCTCTGGGAGGCACTGCTGGTGTCTGGAACAACAGTCATGAGAACAGAACCAAAAACAAGACGATCCTCTGTATTTAAGTCAAGTACCAGGATCTTGGCTTGTTGAGGGCAGAGCGGCATCTTCACTCTGCTGAGCAGCTGAGTCCATGTCAGCCTGACTGTCCAGAGAGGGCTCCAGACCCGCACTAAAAACACACATGTGCACAAACACTAAGAATTAACTGATGATATGAAAACACATTATTGTGATGATAATGGATTGTGTTCAAAGAACCTATAGTTTAAAATTGTGCAGGAGGGAAGGGAATCATTCCAAGCAACTTTAAACTAAGACTTTTGACTGTTACCAAAGCTCATTTCTCCAATTCCTGGGCCAATCCAGAGAAACTGTCAGGCCGGTTTGTGAATCAAATAATGATCTGTGAAAACTTGAACTTTGTTATTTTTTTTTTTCAAAAATGTATTTCACACAAATTGTATTGGCACCTTCCACCCAGCTGAAGAAGTGAACAGACTCATGAACAGAATGCCACTTTACCATACCGTACCATATTTTAAAAAAAATTCTGTCCTTGAACTACTTTAAGACTTTATTATAAAAGGCAATAGAGAGCCTGAGGTAACCAAATAATTTATTCTAAAACTGGGGCACGGATATTGAATATTTTCTAATATTTACTTAACTCAAGTTCATTCACAAGTTTAAATAGTAACAGGCAGTTTTAGACGAGACATGATGACAGCATAAACACCTTTCTGCCTCGTGTTCCATGAAAACTTCGTCTCCGTCATCGGCTGAGGCTGACATTGCTGTAGAAGCCGTTACCATGGGAACAGACTGGGACGCCATGTTGTCAGCGCCATCCGAGGGCAGGGACTCTGTGAACACGGTAACTGAGAGGGGTAAAGGGGTAGAAAAGACAGGATTAGAGTAAAATAATAAATACATTCAGTTACACACAAGTGAATAATTTTTTTTTTTTACTAAACACGTGCTGCAGTTGTGATGGCGGCGCAGTCAGGAAGACGGCTTCAGGCTGCATTCATAAAGACTGCATCTCTGCATGAGCCAGTGCCGTTTAAATTAAATTCAATAGAAATAATGGGCCTCATTCACGAACGGTTCTTAGGAACAGATTTGTACGTAAATCCTACTTACGCGGTTTTTACGAAGAAAGTGGCATTCACGAATATTTCTCGTAACCAGAATTTCTCTTGGGCAAGTACAAATCCTACGAGTCCTCAGGAGCACTCGTACGCATTCAGTGCCGACATGTTCACACGCCGGGGTTGTCCTCTTTGGTGAAGTTGAATAAAAATACAACATTCCAGTGATATGTCCGTCATATCGATGTATGTATTTATTTATTTGTAGTAATCTTTATTAGTAATCTTTATTTATATACCGCCTTTTTCACTGCAGATCTGGCCTACTTTTTAATTCATTTTGAAATGAAATGTGCCAACGCTTTATCAAATACATTGGAAATCTTGCCGTGTATTAGTGACCCCTTCCTATTTATAGGGGGCATTTCTTTATCCACGGGCCACAGAACAACGGCATATATACTGCTGCTGCAGGAGGTTACTGGGTCCGCGCTGAGTCTCTGCGCTGGTCTCTCCTATGGATCTATACGGGTCTGCGCTGGTCTCTCCTATGGATCTAGACGGGTCTGCACTGGTCTCTCCCATATACGGGTCTGCACTGGTCTCTCTCCATACGGGTCCGTGCTGCATGCTCCTGGATCCATACAGGTCCGCGCTGGTCTCTCAAGTCTGGTCTATGCGGTCTCTCTTCGGTCCGCGCTGGTCTCTGCGCACCGGTCTCTCCAGTCAGGTCACTCCAGTCTATGCGGTCTCTCTATAGGTCCGCGCTGGTTTCTGTGTGCTGGTCACTCCAGTCTCTCCTCGGGTCTGCATTGGTCTCAGCGCTGGTCCGCGCTGGATCTCCTCCAGGGTCCAAAATATTTTGAGATTAATCTCAAAACATTTTGAGATTCATCTTTAAAATAATACATAATATATTTTTAAATTAAGCTCATAACATTTTGAGATTAATCTCATCATATTCTTAGATTAATCTCATAATTTTGCTAGTTCGACTTTATTATCATAATATTTCGACTTTTAAGTCAACATTTTATAACTTTATTCTCAGTCTGGTAAAAGAAGAAAAAAGGGTTGCTTTAGGCCTGTTGCTGTTCCCTCTGCCGTCTGCACACGGCCCTGCAGTCCCTTATATGGGCATTAATGGGCGGTTACTTATGCTAAGTACCTATGCTAATGAAGCACCTGGCACGCGCGCTGTACTTACGAGGAAATGGGATTCATCAATCTGAGAGAACAGCTGCGAACAATTCAGCGGCTTACGAGTGCGTTGATGAATCCCACGTGGGGACTTCTTAGAAATCTACTTAAGGACAACTTGAGAAGAAAGTTGAGTAGTTTCTTACGAAGTTATTCGTGAATGAGGCCCATTGTGTTTTAAACTGCACAAAACTTTAAAATGTAATCTAAAAGATTTACGCATGTTATAGTTAAATGAATACATGTTTATTATGTTCTTACCTGGTGCAGCCACCTGAAGAGGGGTAGTGGGAACACTTCTTCCTCCTCCGTCTTCATCGTGAGCCGCTAAGAACAAGGGGGACTCGTACATTCCCAGACCTAAAAGATCAAATGTTTCAAATTGAGTAGAAAGAATTTCATATACATAGGTTTCTCAACATCTGTGGATCTTATATGGTTCTAGTCTGCATTTAATGTACCTCCTTGTGAAGCCAACTGTCCCAGATCAGAGTGAGAGGCTGAAGCTTGGGGCAAAAGATCCTCCGGAGGTCCAAATCTGAATCTAGTGGACAGTCCGGCCACCTGAGGGGAGCTGGGATCCAACACAAACAATGACAGCTTTTTTGTAATGTTTCCATAATGCATTTTACAAAAATTTATTTGAATCTGTGAAACGACTTACTGAATGGCTTCTGCAAAGCCATCATTGCGATGAGGCACAACAAGAGTGGGAGTGCTGGGGACCATTCTGTCATCATCATCAAAGAAATGCTGCTGCTGTAAGAGCAAAGAGTTCTTTTAAAGCTGTGTTTACGAGTAAATTAAACAGGAGTCATTTTGACTGCTGACTCACAGTGCTGCCTATTCCTGGTGTGAGCTGAAGTCCGCGTCCAACTGATTGTCTTCGTAGTTGAGAGGACTGTCTCTGGATAACAACAAGATTAAATGATGAGCTACAGGTTTGGTCAAGGACCTTTTTAAGACATGACATTTATGTACATTTTAACGCTACAGACATGAGTCTTGTCTGAAATTGGTATAACCCAATATAGATTTTGGTTTTGTTTTTTTGTTATTTAAATAAACAAAAGCTGAAAAGTTGGGCCTCAGTACCTGTGTGTGAGGGGGTCCCAGCTCGGGTGCGGGGGGCTGGATATAGAGCCGTGGTGGGACAGAGTGAGGAAGTCTGCGAGGCTGTGGTAGGCGAGGGGCGAGGGAGGACGGAGACGGGGCGGAGGACAGAGGCGGCAGCTGCAGCAGCTCTCTGGGGGGTTCGACCTCTGACACTGCACTGCGGACATCCCCTGAGAGACAAAAGGTGTCAATAGGTTGCAATCATTCACATTTCCTGCAGGCAAGGTTCTGATCTCCAAACGTTCTAATAATTCATATCATAAATGTTAAGTTCAGCGTGTGGAAGAGCAGCGAGATCTTCCCCTTACTACATTCATGCACCTCTACAGGTGCAAATGGATTTTACCCAATATTTTTTGGACTTTGTTGTAATCTTGTTTCTGTTTAGATATTGTCCCCACTTATATTTAGTGTAAATGGGCTACCAGAGGCCAAAACAACCTCAGCTTCATAAAGACTACGGGCATTGGTTTGTGCTTCAAAAGGTTCTCAGACAGATGTGGTTTTCATTTTTACCAAATATAAGAGAAAAAGATTACAAGAAAAAAAGTGAATGTAGCAAGGGGCCTTTTCAATTTAGTAAACTTACTAAAAGGGCAGACGTTTGTAATGTCTTCAGAATAAAAACATATGTACAGTAATGGGTCCTCTTCCATAAGTAAATAAATCCTAAATGTTTACCGCTGTTTGAGGGCTCTGCAGTTCGCTCAGATGAAGTGGTGCCGGGCTTGACCTCGGAGCAGCCACTCTCTGAAGGCTCGTCATCCTCCTCTTCCCCGTCTCTGCTCCCCTCATTACTGCCCTCCGCTGGTCCCATTCCGGCATCGCCGGAACCATTGTCATCTTCATCGTCATCTTCATCATCCTTGTACTGGAAAGCATTAAGCACGTCATGTTATAAACCATTCACAAGAAATATTACACTATAACTCCCTATACCACCATCAGAGTTTAATAAGAAAATTCCAAGCTGAACACACAGCCATGTGATTGTAAAGATTGAGAAATTGCCAACACTAATTTATGGGCAATAATTTTTTTATTTTTTTTTAAGTGTGACGTCATTGTAGTTTCATTATACTATTACAAGACAGAGGCTCTTAGAAAAAAGGGGCGGAGTTACACTAGGTCTGTTTTATATGAGGGACAATCTTGTAATGTGGTTAACTTGCATAATGTGTCTACTTTAAGCGGAAATGACCTTTATCATACCACATGTTTGTTACTAATATGGAAAATGCCAAGTTTTCTCAATAAGCTCTGGTAATTGTCTTGCAATTTGAGTGTACCTCCTCTTCCTGCTCTTCCTCATCCTCTTCCTCCTCTTCTTCCTCCTCCTCCTCCGCATCATCTTCTTGTTGTTTTTCCATCTCTTTGCTCTCGCGGCTCTCGCTGTCTGTGTCAATAACGATTACGTCTCTGACTAACGTCTGACTCTGGTCTAAAGGCACTGACTGGGACACTCCATCGTCTTCCTCCTCAATATCCTCGTCTTCTGCCATAACTGTGAAAGCCATCTGCAAAAGCACAAAAGGCATTGCAGTATACATTCTGTCATCATACACTTAAGCAAACAGACACAAACTGTACGTTATGAACATTTTACTGCAAGCTTTAACAGTTCTCAGGTCTGTACACTGGCTTCCTGTGGCGCAGACTTGACAAGTCTCTCCATGGTCTCACGCCGTGACATGCTAGTGTCCTATCAAGCAACTCCGACTCAGCACAGGGACTGGCTTTCTGCTGATGCCCAGAGAGAGGACTAAACATGGGGAGGCAGCATTTCAAAATTATGCAGCTAAAATCTGGATCAGTCTTCCTGATAATGTGAGAAAGGCCTCTACTCTGTCAATGTTCAAATCCAGTTCTGTTTAACTGTGCCTACAACAAGGATTGCATCTCACTCTTTTAAATGTACTGTGATTTTAATGTTTCTTTTCTTGTTTTGATAACTACTTTGAGTTGCCTTGTGCATGAACTGTGGTACCTTCTTCAAAAGGAGTACCAAGTTTCAATACTAGTATAATGTATAAATAATGGATTTTAACAAACCTCACTCTCTGCTGAATCTGGTTGTTCTGCGTCGTCCCTGAGCTCTTCTACAATGTCGTCCTCCTCTTCCTCAATCTGCACAGAAAATATGAGATAAAATGATCAATGTTAAAGCAAGCTCTTATTTTACACACTAGTGTCAGAAAAAGTGTGACGGAGCAGTCACCTGTCTTGGTAGTCTTCGCCGAAGTTTCTTGACGGTCGGTGACGTGCGTGAACTTTCGGGTCTGCTCTCCTCTTCCTCTTCGTCATCTCTAACACGCTTTGAACCTGTTTTAATCATACAAAAAACGTACAGTATATGATTTTACATATTACTGCAGCAGTGTGATCTCGTGTAAGATGTGTGTGTGCGTTTGTCAGAGCAGAGGCAATAAATGTACACATTATTTCCCAGGAGATCTTCATTATTGCCTTGAATGTCATCTTTTATCAAATAGGGACTGGTGACATGAATAAAAATTAAAATAGGCTTTGCAGAGCTTTTGACCATTCACACTCAACGCTGTTTTTAAGAGTGATTTGTGCATGCTTGAGTAATTTAAATGCTCATGTATACACAAGAAGCCTGTGAGCTCTCCTTAAGTCCTCTTTTGATATATATGGATGAGTCGCCCATGTTATGAGGTCATTTTAGCTTCAAGGAATAAAACACTTTTATCCCTGATAAAAATATGCTTTCTGTATATGTCTCCATCTAAAAAACATGTGATGTTGTTGCAGGTAGGTATGAATTTACCAGGAGCAAAAGCAGAGGATGTGGACGGTCGCTCGGCCTCCATGCTGGACCCTGGCTCTTGATTGGCTGCCTGCTGCTGAGTGGGCTGGACAAACGCTGTAGTATGGGAGCTGGTAGGCTGCGCAATGGTGGTGGGTGTGTTACTCAAACCAGAGCTGGTCGAATGCACTGTTGCTGTGCCACCTAGCGACACTGCAGTAAATAAAGCGTTATAATGAGACAATATAATTAACATTTTACAATAAATGCAATAATAGAAATACTATGCCACAGAATATTTTTTTACAGATACAAGTTTCACTTAATGTAATACATTAAATGTGAAACCAATAAAATATCAACACATTGCATTCTATATCATGTTTTCATTTTGACTTAGAACATTTGAATATTTTCTGGATTGGATTGATGGATTGGTTGAGATGCTAAGGTTTGATAAATCTCACGAGTTTCCCATTGTAAGTTTGATTACTGAAGTAATTTTCCAGTTCACCTGTATAGTATAATTTATTATTGTATATTTAAGAGCATTTCGATTTTAAACCCCTGCACTCGCAAACGTAACGTGAAATAGTAGTAGTAGTAGTAATCTTTATTTATATACCGCCTTTTCACTGCACATCGGAGTCTCAAAGCGGTTTACAATTGTTATTTTTTGGGAGTGGGGGTGCCAGAACAGGAGGCACATGCCAGACCTATTGTACATATTTTTAGTGGTAGGGGAAACCGGAGCACCCGGAGGAAACCTACGCAGACACGGGGAGAACATGCAAACTCCACTCAGAAAGGCCCTGGTCCAACCGGGATTTGAACCCAGGACCTTCTTGCTGAGAGGCGAGAGTGCTATCCACTCAGCCACCATGCCGCCGAAATACGCACTATCACAACATACTGCAAATTTAAAGCAGCTCACCTCTCTTATTCATTGAAAAAGCTGATCTAAAGATGTGACAACTAGTGATAGAAACCAAGAGTTACATGGATTTTATTACATAGTTAATTATTTGTGGTTAGATACAGATTTAAGTAGTTGTTGATGTGAAATGTATGAAAACCACCGACACATACACAACTTGTACAAGAAAGATTTCAGTTACCGAGATTTCAGTTACAGCCACGTCTGGTATTTGAACAGACTATTGGAGGTGTACCTTCTTGGCTGTCCGTCTGCGTGGTGGGCATGACTGTAGCTGTCGGAGTAGGAGTGGGCACAGACGGCGTCACCATGGGCCGGATACTGGCTCGTGGAGTGGCCTTGCTGCCGGGGGTGGGGCTTGGTTTGCTGCTGGGAGAAGGCGTGCTCGGGGTTGGACGGATATTGGCAGTGGGCGGCTCAGATTGACTGGAGCTAAAGCAGAGAAAGGATTTAAGGCACTTCATTAAATGTGTGTAAAAATATTTTTGTTTAGTCATGTTAAGTATTGGTTTACCTTCCTCTGTCCTGGGCAGGGCTCTTCATTGACATTTGCCTTTGTTCAGATTGTCTGGACTGGTCACCACCACCCTGAAATACATGGCTTTGTTAAAACTAGTGGCTAAAAAACAACATTCTGCTAACATATTTGATTAATTTTCCTTTTTTCTGTGTAAAGAATGAGTGATGACTGATAGCCATGATTAAATATATACAATATTTATCTACTTTAAGGTGATGTCAGCAACTTCAATTGTATTTAATTTAGAAAATAATACATAAGTATGAATATATAATCCAATACCACAATCTGTATTAAGTATTTTCCACAATGAACATATTATTTAAAGTCCCTCTCCTTGGAATAGGCATCCCCAGTAGGATTTTTGGTTGGAGAATACTAAGACAAATGGTGAGGGACCTGAGCTGTAGATCAAGAATTTGAAATCATTGAGTCCAATCAGGAACCTGTGGAGACGGGTCATGAGCATGACATGACATGAGTTTGCATCTTCATCTTCACAATTTGAAAAGGAAAAGCTCTTTTTGTGCATCCCATACATTGTGACAGTGGCAGTACTGGTACAAATGCCTACCGCCATAAATAGAAGCAGAAAACCAGAAAAGAGCCACATACCTTAGTTCCGCTCGGATCCTGGGTCTCCTCTCTGGACTCGGACTGGGTTTCTCGCAGCTCCCTCAGCTCTCGGTCTAAGCGTGCTAGTCTCATTTCATATTGAGACTTGATGGCGTTCATCCGCACCTCCTGCTCCTCGTTGTCCTGCTTCAACTCCTCTACCTCTTTACTCAGCTGTTCCTTGACACCTGAACAAATCAGTTATGACCAACATTTTATTTGAATTCTAATTATAATAGATTTGGACTAAAAATGTCACTTTATGCCTGTAATTATGAATTATTAACATTATTATATTATGTAAATGTTTCCAGAATCCAGAACAACAATAAACTCACTGTTGAGTTGGCCAATCTTTGTCTTTGCTCCAAGAAAAGCCTTTTTGGTCTTTTCTTCTTTGTCGGCGATCTGCTGTCGAAGCTGCTCCTCACGGTTCCTGCTCTCCATCAACTGTAAAGATAATACGTCATAATATTTTGGAAAACTTAAATATATGTAATGGAAATCCTCAGGTCAGATTATCATTGTGTTCCAGACAACACAGGCTAATAGAGTATGACGTTTGTGTTCATTATTGCCATGGAAATAAAATTATGGTAGATTTACAAATAACATACTGTTGAGAGGCAAAAATTCGTAAAGACAGCAAACTGCTCGGCCCATGACCTAATTGAGGGATTTGTCATAATGTAGATAGCTGTTTGTAAGGATTTGGACAAATGTGGAGGGAACAACATTATAACTTTGTTAGACATTGTAAAAATGAAAAAAAAAAAATCTTGTAAATAGAAATACCTCTTGTCTGAGTTTGTTGAGCTCATTCTCTCGGCCCGGTTCTGTGTTTCCGTCACTGCTCTGACTCGGTGTGGCCTGTGCGGCCTGCGCTGCGGAAGAAGCAGCTTCTGACGTCAGTTTATCCTCCGAGAGCTGCTCCTCCAGACGCTTCACCTCTATATCACGTTCACCTAAAGTCTAAAGAAATACACATTTGTACATACAATACATTAAAACACAGGATTTAACTCAAGTACTCAAGTATTACCACTACTTTTTCAATTCAGGGTACTTTATTTGCAACTTGCAATAAATATAATATGATCTATGTTTTTAATCAGGACGTATATTCCAATGAGACTGCATATTGATTAACCCACCCTGTCAAGCAACTATTGAGCACTAAAAGATACATATAAATATGAATATCATTTTTCACAAACCTTCTGCAAGTTTTCCAATTGTCCTTGAAGCTCTGATGCCTATTATCAAAAAGATAATTAGCTCACTTAAAATTGAGCACATGACACATGATTACAACTCAATGTAAGCGAGAAATACAAAGGACCTCTCACCTTGCTCTCTGATTGGCTCAGGGAGGCCTTGAGTTTCTCCACTTCCTGGTTCATGCTCTGTTGTGAGCTCTGCCGTGTCTGCTGAAGTTCTTTCTCTGTTTGTTGGAGGTTTTCTTTAGTCTGCTGGAGTTCCTTTTGGATATGCTGGATTTGGCTCTGACGGGCCTGTGTTTGAGTCTGTGCAGCTTTCAATTGGTTTTGTAGCTATAAAAAGAAACAAATTACATTATTCAAGGCGAGTTTGTGTTTTTTAGATGTGTTTTCATTGGTTTTAAATGTTGTCAATGTGAAGCACTTTGGGTTGCATTCTGTATGAACTGCACTATATAAAATAAATGATTGATTGATTGATTGTTATTTGATATCGTTATTCGAAATGAGGGCAAGGAGAGTGTATTTGTATAGCACAGTTCATACACTATGTTGCTAATGTTGTTGACGACCTCTTTGTGCTCTTGTACCTGTTGGTTCTGGGTCTTTGCCAGCTGCAGCTCCCTCTGGCCCTGATTAATCTGGTTCTGATTTTGCTGCAGTTGAGTCTGAGTTTGAGATAGTTGTGATTGAACCTTAGATTGGATGGAAAAGTTAGTACATGGAAATACAGAATTTCTAGGTTTGATCGTTTTATGTTGCCATCACCTGTGTGAGTTGATTCTGGTTTTGGTTCAGCCGATTCTGAACTTCGTGTACCTTGCCGCTGCTTTGTTGGTTTTCCTTCTGAGCCTCCTCCAACTGCTGTTTGGATTTCTGAATCTAAAGAAATTTAATGAGACGTCAATAAATCACAAAAAGTGAAGCCGGAATGTAATTTTATCCTAATATCCAAAGTCTGATAAGGTTAGATATCAGAAGCCAAGCATGATCGGACCACTTCAGGGAAAAGAAATATAAATATACACAGGGTTCACCTCTTCAATTTTCTTTTGCATCTCGTCTTTGTTTTTGGCCAGTTCCTCTTGGGCCTTCTTCAGCTCCTCCTGGACCTGAGTGAGCTGCTGCTTTTCCTGATCGGAGCCGGCTTCACTTCCTTGTTTAGCTGCCACCTCCTGCACCATCTGTAGTGAGGCATTTAAGACATGATTCTTTACGCGTGTCCACAAAGACTGCCATTCTGCTTGAACTTGATGTTAGTATTAAATCCCAACAGTCTCAATCTCCAACAGTTTATGAAGTGTGCGTTGCAATGTCTCCAATTTACTTGTCAAAAGGTCTTCTATTTTCATCTTCCACACATGTGCAAACATTTTGCTGCTTCCGTATGTTTATGTATAACCAAAGCAGTTATTTAATTAAATTTACACAAATTAAATTAAATGTATCTAAACAAATGTCCTACTTTTTCCTTTAACATGTCTATATAATCTAATTGAATATTTTAACTAAATAAAAAGGACAGAAATCTAAAAGACTAAAAAGTCACTGTTAATGTATTATAGTTCCAAAGACAGTCAGTAATTTTAAATGTTGTCTACATGTCTCACCTTGTCATGCTGGGCCTTTAGCTCCTCGTACTGGGTCTTGTAGCGGCGTCCAATCTTCTTCACTTGAGTGATAGTTTTATTTTTCTCCAGAATCTCTTGGTTTTTGGCCTCCAGCTCTTTCTTGACATTGTCCCTTTCTGAAGTAGCACGTGCCACAGTGTCCTTCAGTGTTTGAAGCTGAGACTGGGCTGAGTTATTGCTGGCATTGGATCTACAGACACAATAGCAAAAGTAATTCAGAATTCAATCTGTTATTTATGATCATCTAAACTACGGGCACACCCCTTCAACGAGCAAATTGAAACAAAAACTAGTAAATGCTGAGAATATAGAACCTCAGCTTAACTAAAAAAGCATATCGAGGTGGAGAATATGTTATCTCATTGTCATGTTTTGTGTTACATTACATTTGGTGCATTTTTGAGGAACATCTTGGATGTTCAGGGTTTATCCTACAAATTCATGAAAAATAATTCTTTCCTTTATTTTCCTCTCCTTTCTTTTAACATAGCCATGAAGAATTTCGGTCAGAAGTGAACCAGATTGGTCCAGTATCAGTAATGCATGTGGGTCATTTTCTTGTTTACCCAATTAAACTGTTTTAAACTAAATAATTAAACACATGAAGCAGAGTAGACTCAAGTATTAAAATGGCAATATTGAAATTGACATATTTGCCCCCTCTCAAAACTGCTTTCAGACATGTTATCCTGGGCTTAAAGTGGTCAGGTTCTTACTTGGCTAGTTCAGTCTTTAACTTGGCTCCTTCTTCTGAGAGTTGTGTGATGCGTTTCACATGAGTATCTCTCTCTGATATAAGTCTCTGTTTCTCCTCAACGTCGCCGTCTTTCTGTTGGTTGGTCAGTTGCTTTGGTAGAAAGGAGAAATAAAACATTCATTGATGGTCACAACACGTAATCTCAATGTTCTTACAGAAAGTATTGGCAATCTACAATAGTCTTCAAATCTGAGCTTATTGCTTTTAATGATATTTAGTTTGTTCAAGATTTATTTAACCCTAACCCACATAAGAATAATTTGTGTATAAATGTATGTTATAAAAGAACAAAAATACCGATACGGTACATTCAGTTTAGTGTTTAAGAATACATAAAAAAGATAGAAGATAGTAGCTCAGTTAGTAGAGCATTGGCCTTAAGGCCAGAAGGTCGTGGGTTCAATTCCCACCTCTACACCTTCTCCACCGACTTCCACTGATGACTGCTGTCGTTGTGTCCTTGGGCAAGACACTTAACCCCACTTTGCCCAAAGCCCCCACTGAAAGATCAAGGCTATGCTCACACTCAGAGCAGCCGTCCTCCTGTGGACTCACCACCTGCAGAGGGTCAGTGAGGGGCTGGTGCTATGAGACTTGGGTGGCATCTCTGACTGTCACCCCCCTGACCCAGAAATGGATTAAAGGGTAGAAAATGGATGGATGGATGGAAAAAAGATCATCCACTAAATAAAAGCACTAAATAAAATCCAAATCAATTCAGGGAGATGATAAATTAATAGTTCCTCTTGAATGTGTTCAATTTGGCTTTTAGTACCAAATACCCAACTTTACTAACATTCATAGTTCCCGCGTATTGTAAAGACACTATAGTGCGATTTGTTCACAAAATATTACTTAAAACAAGATTATTTCTGTTGAGACAAAACAAAATGTATTTATGAAACCAAAAAAGGTTAGGTTTACAAGCTTTAAATAATGAATGAGTGATGTTTCTTTTTTTTCTCCTTGATTTCAATTCATTTTCACAGTTGTTCACTTATATTCAGTCCAGTTAAATGGGACACAAACACACCTGGACTTTCAGTTTCCAGCGCTTCAGGTCCTCCTCCAGGATCCTCTTGTCCGCCTGTAACGAGCCGTTCTTCTCGGAGAGCACGGATAGATTCTGGTGCAGAGGAGCGATGTCCGCCTGCAGCCGAGTCACCTTCATGATGGAGAGGTTAGCTGCACGTTCAAAACCACCTTTATTCTATTGCTTGTTATTGGATGGGAACAAAAGATTACTTTAGCCCGGAATATCTTGAGTTCATGCTCGAGCTTGTCTTTGTCAAGTTTGAGCGAGCGGTTGACCTCCTGAAGAGCACTTATCGTCTCCATTTTCTTCAGCTGCTGCTCCTGCTGGGCCATGGTCTTTGCTGTTGTCTGAAAAAAATATCAAAAGAAAAATGTTACCCGACGAATTAAATAACATATGGTTAATACACCATCTATGCACACTATTATTTAATATGTCACTTTAAAGCTGGGGTCGGTGACTTTAAAGTTGGGGTCTGTGACTTTAAAGTTGGGGTCTGTGACTTTAAAGCTGGGGTCTGTGACTTTAAAGCTGGGGTCTGTGACTTTAAAGCTGGGGTCTGTGACTTTAAAGCTCAGGGTCCTCCTGGTCCTCAGGTATAAGTTTATTTGTCTGTTATGTAAAAATAAGTATTGTGCCACTTCAAAATAAATAGAAATAAATAAAAATAGTAAATTCAAATGTTGTGGTTGGAAGAGGTTTTTTTTGCTATAGACATGAATACACAGTTTAAAGCTGGAGTACTAAAATTTAAAATCGCAAAGAATTATATAAAATAAGAAAAACTTATCAAAGTATTATTGCTAGCACTCAAATCTGTTAAAATCACAAGTTTTCACACGTATGTAATTATTGGCCATATTTAGATGAGAAAAAAAAAGACCAGCCCTCGCTCAGCCTCAATCAGTTCATAGCATAAAAAATTAACATGTTTTCTAATAAGATAAAGTTATGGTGGTTTTTAAGATTTGTTGAGGCATATTTCAGTACCTGCATTCGTTCACGCTCAGTGTTCAGCGCCTCCTGCAGCTCCTTCAGTTCTCGTTCCTGGTGTTCCACGCGCTGCTTGTACCGAAGAGCTTCTCCCTCAGACGCCTCAAACTGAGCCAGAGCGATCTCCTTCTCTCTCCGCACAAACCTACGAACAAAACCCAGGAAAATGCATGAAGAGAACGAGTGGTAAGAATGAAAACAAGTGGGTTAACACAAACTGTAAATGTATGGTTGTATTTTTCACCATTATATGCAAATGTTCAAAAGACTTAAAATCAAACTAGGAATACATGAATAGATCAAATACAGTAAGAGAAATAAAACCCCCAAAGAAACATTGAGTATAGATTACATGAAGTGCTACAAGGTAGTAAAGGAAAAAACATTTGATTTGCTGAAATGTATATATTTTGAACCAGCACACACATTTTCACATCAACACACATCAACACAAATAAACAAAAAAACAAATGACTAGCAAGGATGGCAAATAGGGCTTAAAAGACTTTTTAATTTGTTGCGTGTTCACAAGGGGAATGTTATTAACAGTGTTGTGCCAGTTCACAACTTTTCTGAACTAGTTCAAGTTCAGTTCATACATGCTCAAAGTGAACAGTTCACGTTCAAAGTTCACAATTTTAATTCTGAACTAGTTCACAGTTCATTTTACTTTTTTTGTGAAATAGTCAAATAAATACTTTTTTTCACACTACGAGCTAGAGCTAGATATATATATTATATATATATATATATATATATCTCCTGTACACCCACAGGAGGAGAGCCTTTTGGTTTTCAATGGGAGCAAAACGGAGTTGCCCCATCTCTGCTCATAAACTACAGACAGTAATGCGCTGCAGTGCGTGTGTCTATACTTTATGTCAAATGTAAACGGTGTAAACTTTGTCGCTAACTCACCCTGTGTTTTCATCACGACTCGGGCACATGTGAAAAGCACCAGCTCACAGCGCCGCACCGCAACACGGAGTCGGGGTGCGTTCATAGACGGTGGAAACCGTAGGAATTTTTTGATTTCGGTGGAAAAAATGCGAGAATACAGGAGGGAGGAACTTTCTCTCGTTGCGTTTCAAAAGAGAAAACAGATTCCAACGTTCACAGTGATGTCTGCCGTTCATGACACATAAAATGAACTAATTTACGTTCAAGTTCTTTTTTTTAAAATGTGTTGCGTTCAGTTCAGCGTTCGCAAAAAAATGAGCGTGTTCAATGAACGCGTTCTTTTGAACTCGTTCACGCACAACACTGGTTATTAAACACTCACCTGAGTATCTCCAGAATCTGCGCCGTGGTCTTTCCCTCTTCGCTGAACGACAAATCCAAATTCTGTAGCGGAGGTTCCTGATGCTGAGTTCGATTTTTCGCAGCCAGTTCATCCATCTCTTTGTGAAGAAGAGAATTCTGTTTCCCCAGCTCCTCACAACGACGTCGCTCATTAGCAAGATTCTCCTGCAGAAAAAACATGACACAGTAAGTAACTTTCAAAAGAACCATTATTGCAAAGCATTACAATTATAGGTTCAATTATGTCAAGGTCACCAAAAATGTAAAAAAAATATTTTGCATTTACTTAGAAAGAAGAGAAGACATGAGGAACCCCAATGGTGTGAAGAGCTATTTAAAAATGTGAAGAGCCTAATTTTCTCTTCTTTCTAAACTACGGGTGATCCTGTCTACCTCTTCTGTGATCCGGCAAGCACCACCCCATCTATCTTTAAAATAATGAACATTATTATTTATTCAGAATGATAATGAGACCCTTTGTCATTTTATGTTATAGAATGTGAAATATCTTAAGTAGAAAATATATCATGAAACAAAAACGCTTTCGCCTGTGATTCCTTATGCTACCACCAGAGGGATGAGTTGAATACGTTGTTTCCAGCTGCACATAATTTTGCCTGAGGATTAGCAACAGCGTGGATGGATCTTAAAAAAATGTTTGATGAGGGAACAACATGGTTAAAGTAAATACTTGTACAATATACATACAATTATTTATTTGTAATGATGAAATGGTTAAAACCTGGGTAATTTAAATACTTTTATTCTCCCAAGACATACTACATAATGCATCATACTATTGGTGCATTACATTACACATTATTATGCGTAAAAGAAAAAACTACATACCATAATAAAAACATAGTGCTTGAACTTGTACCTTCATCTGTTTCTCCACTGTGCTCCATGTTGCTGTTTTCTCCTGCAGGAGCGCTGTGCTCTTACTAAGATTCTCCTCCAATTCTTGTTTGATTGCAGAGATTTCGTGGAAGCGTTTTTTTAGATCTTGCAATGCCTCGACATCAGCAGCATGAAGCATCAGCTCCTTCTCATACTTGGCTTGAGCCTCTTCTGCAAACTTGGTCTAAATGTTCAAATAAAAACATGAATTAATGATGTACTTTTATGTAAGTTTCTAAACTGCTGGAGGTTGAAAAAGGTGAGTAGTACCTGCTGGCGACTGTCTTGAATGGCCTTTTCCTCCTGAGTTACAGCTAAAGAGCACCTTTCCAACGCCTCGCGCTGCTCTGTCTGGCTCGCTTTCAGAATCCGCTGGAGCTCAATCACCTGTAGCAAAAGAAAAGCAAGTACGATGTCACCTCACACAATTACTGCAATACGTTCTATGATTTCTTAAGCGAGTTGTGTATGAGCTGCGCGATACAAATAATCTTGCCTAGCAGTGATGATCCAGGACATTTAAGGACATTGTACATCCCGCTCCTTATGACCACAAGGCTCCTACCGTTTGAATCTCTGATCTGTTGTTGAGGAATTAACTACTTTTTGAAATCTTCTGCCTCAGACTGCCGTTAGGATTTAGAGCTACACAAATTTTTTACTGAATATATTTTTGGGCAATAAAAACGTTCATTTATTGGATGTGATGTCCCTAGTAAAGTAAAGGTAAATAATGTTTGCATGTGAATTGTAATGACTATCTTATCTTACTACAATTAACACATGGTGTCAGAATATTTTTTTCTTGTTATGCACTGCACTGCAAACTAACACAAAACTAGTATTATTCAGATACTATAATCTAATATTTTTGGTAGATGCAGATTCCAGAAAAAGTTGAATGACGCATTGTGTCATGTTGGAAGACTGAGACATACTTGTTTCTCTACAGCGTTCACAGCCTTCCTGCGCTCTTCCCCGTCCTGAAGCTTCATCTTCTCCGCCTCCACAAGCCTCTGTTCCAGCTCCTTTTGCACCTCCTGTGATTCTTTCAGACGTATCTCCAGAGGGGTGCGGGACTGAAAACACATAGGCATTTCAACATACAGGAATCAAATTTTTTTTAATATAATATATCCGCTCCTTTAAAAAAAAAAGAAATGCACTAACCGTATCCAAAAACTTCTAGACATTATTCAGGTTATTATTAATTTTTTTGTGTGACATGTTGATTTCTTTTAAAAATCGCTTTATCTTGGTGGTGCGTGATCCACCACCTTCACATTACTTCAATATTTTGGTTCTCAGCACAATTATCCAATCAGAAAGCACACAAGTCTCATTTGAGTTGTCAGTTTAGTAGGGGAGATGCCGCTGATTTGGTTACTGCTATAGTGACTTCATAAAACTAGTAGGAGCACAAACCACATCCTGTTCCTTGTAATGTTGTGGTTAATGTATAATAGTTGCTTGGATACTGTAGAAAAACCTTCAGACTTTGCGCTCCCCTGATGTAAATGCAGTCTTACCTCCTTCTCCTTCTTCAGACTGTCCTCCAGTGTGAGGACCACAGCTCTGTACTGTTCCACTGTGGCGTTGGCGCTCTTCAGCTGCTCCTGAAGCTCACTCCTCTGTTCCTCAGCCGTGCGCAGCTGACCCTTGACCTCACTCAGCTCCTGCTCTGATACAGTGGGCTGCTGTGACACCGGGGGCCCAGGGGAACGCACTGAACACACCAGGGACCATTAGTATCAGATCCACCATGTTTCACCATCTATTCTTCAACAGTAATCACCACACTTTTAAAGACCACGGAGCACTTTGACAGTAAAAACAAAAACGGCACAACCTAAAATCATCTTCTGCATGACACACAAAAACACGTCCAATAAGAGAATATTACATTTGAAACGAGAGTAACATGGGTTTAACATGGGATTCCTTTCTGGAGTACTTTAGTAATCACGTAAACAGCTAGGTACTAGTGTGCGCATGTTTGTGTGGATGCAGAATACTTTGTAGTTTTAGGTTTTTGTCTTAGAGTATCCTCTTGAAATATATTTTGTACCTTTGTTTTTGAAAAATTCTGAAAAGTTCTCAATAAACAGATTTAAAAAAAAGAAAAAAACAGCAATTTTGCAAAGCGTTAAAATCTGGGGTGTCTAACTTTTTAAATAAAGTAACAACACGTAGTCTTCATCAGATTAGAAAAAGTAAATCTTGAACCATGTGATTTGATTTTACAGATGGTTGAGGCAGTAGTGGCCTTACCCCTCAGTGGCGCACGGAGTGCCGCTGCTCGTCCGGCCGGTGTAGTAGGAGCGCTGCTGATGTTGGATGAATCCGACCCTGATGCAGCTGCTGCTAACTGAGCTTTAAGTGCTGCCACCTGCTGTTCGGACGAGCGCAACAACTCTCTAGTCTTCTGCTGCAGCGTGTTCTGCGTCTCCAGCTGCTTCTTCGCTTCCAACAGCTGAGTCTGTGAACGAGTTTGTGAAATAGATTATATACATATTATTTATACATTAGACAAATGTTCTAGCGGTAAAACCAGTGACACATACATCCATGGATCGGCCAAGGGCGTGCCTTTGTGCCACCTCCTGGTTCAGTTTGGTCTTCATGGCAGCCAGCTCCGACTCAAGTTGATCAATTTTGTTGTTGAGTCTCTGCCGAAAGTCTGTCTCAGTGCGATCCATAGTCAGCTGCACAGAAATGGATTGATATTTAATGTGAAGAACCGTATGGTTGAAGTCATTTCCACTGTAATAGTACCTGAATGGTCTTGAGATTGGTCAGTAGTAAGTTCTGGTTACGTTGCTCAGTCAAAATGGCCTCCTTTTCTTTATTGAGCCGACTCTCCGCTTGTCTCAGCATCTCCTTCTCTTTTGTCAAGTTCTGCACACGGACCTACAGTACAAAAGAAACACAAGATTAGAAACTATTCAGCGCTGAAATCATTTAATTGGACCTTAAGCCTCACGCACCTCCTCCAGTGCCAGTTTCTCGTTTGCCTGCCGTAGATCTTGGCTCATTGTGAAGAGGGCACGTTCTTGACTCTGGGAGGTTGTTGACATTTTCTTGCACCGGTCTTGTAAAGCCGTGATCTCTCGTCGATACGCGGCTACATTCTCCTGTAGCATCTCATATCTAGAAATGAATCGAATACTTATATGCAATATATGCAAGAAAAAAAAAGCTGAGGGAAACATCAAGACACTCAGCACAAAGCAAAATCAAAACGCACAACTGCAACACAAGTGGGGTTTTACACGTCTGTTCAGTGTACCGTTTTATTCCAGCAGCACTTTCTTTGACAGGAAGCCAATGCTCTAAATGCATCTAAATCAGGGGTGTCAAACTTATTTTGGTCGGGGCCAAAACAATAGAAGAGATTTCCTTTTCTCATAATAGTTTTTTACATTATGAAGGTATTTTAACATGACTTTTATTTGACATGAGTTTCACTGTCATTTTCTGAAAACAAAATGCTTTTATTCTTTAGATTGAAACAAAAATGTATCAAATATAAAGTTAAACACATTTTATATTGAACTATTTAACTTCTAATGATGTGTTATTGGGTTAAAATGTTAAAATACATTGAATTTGGTTGTTTTCCTGAGAAAATAGACGATGTACAGACGATGTAACCTGCCTTGGTCACCCATTACCATCAATGTTGCAAGTTAATAATAATACATATTCTTAAGGTCCACTAAAAATTTTCTCCATGTGTTAAAACTGTTTAAACTGCACTGACAGAAATGAGCTGTTTCCCAAATCCTTCCTGTTCTGATAGCTGTTGTGTTGTGCATAACTTACCTTAGAGGTCCCAATGATTAGAGATATAATCAAAAGCAAATACAGGCTCTGGTGATATCATCAAGCAATGCATCTAAATGATAAAAAAAACATACCTTTTATTGCTAAAGTCAAGTTGAGAGGCGAGTTTGGCATTTCTGGAGGAGAGCTCAGATCTCTGCTTCTGTAATCTATCATTTGTTTCATTCAACATTCGATCATTCTCCGCTTTCTCCTTCTTGTACAACATGAAGGAATCATTGAGCTGGGGATGCAAAAAGGACAAATGTTAGGGGGGTGAATAATATGTTTTAGAACCCCTAAACCAAGGGTGTCAGACGGGTTCCAAAAAGAGCGAGTGTGGCTGCAGGTTTAAGTTCCAATCAAAGCCGACTCCACCCATTTCCACAAATCTTCAGGTCAAAATTGAACTCAACAAAGTGCTGAAAAAAAAAAAAAAAGTTAGTTACCTGTTTTAGTGCCGCTTTGGCCTGAGTGGTTTGCGCAGACTCTGCAGCAGCTGCCCTCTGTGGCATCGAGCGAGTGGCGGGGACAGAAGGGCGAACTTGAGGCGACAGGGACAGAGACTCAGGTCCTAAATCAATACAATGAACAATGTAGTCAGTCCAAAAGTATTGTAATGTATTAATGTGTGTGTATGTATTAATGATCTCAAAAAATAACTCGTACATAGAATTAAATAAATGTGGAAAAACAGATTATGTCTTCACACAGCACTGTTATTGCCCCATATGTTCATTGCAGTTGCACTAGATGAACATATCCAACAACTTTACAATAAATACTTTACTAATTTGAACATTTATTATGCAACCCTTTATTTATTCAAAAGACTTCCAATATCGCTGTGTTGCATTTGTGTAATGGAGTTGTACCTTGAGGTGGCAGTGTGTAGCCGGTGCTCTGCGTGAGTAAAGCCTTGTACATATCCCTTTGCCTGGCATTAGAGTCGGCCAGCTGTTTCTGCTGGTTCCTCTGCTCTTTCAGTTGCTCGATATCCTTTTGCAGTTTATCCACACTGGCCTCCAACTCAGATACGCTAAAGACAAGAACCATCAAATCAGAAATCAAACTAAAACAGGTGCAATCGTGCTACTTCATTTTGCATGCAGTGCGAGAGCGATTTGTACCGTTCAGATGTAACTTTGGTCTGCTTCTTATTGCTCTCCTCCTCCAGATCTTTCAGTTTTCGCTGCATGTTTTGGTTTTGTTGTTGAAGTTCTTGAATGTTACGGAAAGACAATTGATTGGTGGTGACGCTGCTCTCGTTTTTGACCACTGGGTTCCCTCGCGCCTCCTCGAGCTCCGCCAGCAGAGTGCAAACCTGGCAACGACCAAATTGTGTAATCAATTTAAGATAAGATATTCCTTTATTTGTCCCACAGTGGAGAAATGTCAGTGTCATTTCAGTGTTAACCTTACATAGACTTAAACATGATGAGGTTTTAAGACACTTGTTTTGGTCAAATATATTAGAATAATACCATATTCATAAATCTTTCAGGATCTAAACGACTAATCAAAAAAATATTTCGGCCAACTATCAAAATAATTGTTAATAGCTGCACTAATAATCACAATGTATGGAAAGCAATTTTTGAATCTGGTAAAATCTGGTAAGGGCACAAGGTACATTTGACTGAAATTGGACTTATTCAACAAAAACACTGGCATTACCTGTGCAGATGAGTCATCGAGTTGTCTCTCTGCAGAACTCTTCTCCTGTTCCAGGGCGTCACATTTTTGTTTTGCCTCATCTTTCTCCTTCTGCAAACTATAGATCTCCTAGTGACATCAAGAGATACAGTTTTAGCTAATACAAGAAATAAACGGTTTGGAAAAGGTCTGTCATCTGTTGGGTTAGGGCTGCATGAGTCTGCACATATAGGACAAACCGCGCGAGCTTGTTCCAGTTTGTTGCAGAGCGAAGCCATGGACCGCTGCATGTCTTCATATTCCTCTTTCTGTCGCTTAAAGACGGGTGCTTTGGATTCAACCTCCTGGACGATCTCATCCAAGACTCGGTTCACTCTCCTGGTTTCCTGCTTCTCGAGCTGCAGCTGGGTCTGACACTCTGCATAGGCATTATAAAGCTAAAGGAGATAAAAGTAAATATGTCAAAGTTGCAATATTTGTTATTTATTTTTTCCATTTTGTGTCTTACGTCAAAAAACTTCATGCCAGGTTTGACGATGGCTGCAATAGTGGCTGCAGAAGGACACATAGCATCCAACTGTTCCTCCGTCAGCGACTGCGCACCTGAGGGGAAAGTCAAAAATCTACATCAAATCAGGCTTCACTTTATATCAAAATAGAGAGTGCGATTCTTACAGCAGTGTTTGCCAGCCGCCTTCACTGACACGTTTTCGAGTTCCTTTTCCATCTTTTTGATCTTCTCTCGGAGTTCAGCCTCAAGCCTTGTCTTTTGTTCTTCTGTCTCGGAAACTTTCTTTTCCAATACTTTGTTGGCTGCGATTATATTATTAGAATAAAACCAAATGATGTGAACACAGTTGATTGAATGTTTAGCAAAAAGGTTTCACGTTACCTTCTCCCGTTTCTTTTATAATCTTACTGAGTCCCTGCACCGCTCTGTTCAGTTCATTATTCTTTTTTTCCATGTCAGATGCCGTGCTCTACAAGAAATATTATTAACAATTTCCACCAACTGATTTAGAAATATCAAAATGATTAAATAGGCTCAATACTTTGTAGAGTGACGACAATTTTATATGTGCATTGAGTTCATTGCGGTATTTCTCCTCCATTGCACATTGTTCTTCTCTCGCCTTGAGACAAAAGAACACAGAAAAGGAAGTGAATTTTATTTTACAACTGGCAAAGTACTAATTCCAATTAAAGTGTATTGTTTGTTTTGAGTTAATTAAATCTGGATTACCCAACTTTAAAAGCGCAAAATATAATAATAATAATAATAATAATGATAAAACCCATTAAACTAGTTCCTGCCTCACAAGATTTTCACATTCATGTATTTTTGGCCTCACATCTAGATCAGATTTTTCAGTTAAAAAGAGCACCAACCAATCAGCTCTCAGCATGTTAAAAAAAAACATGTTTTCTAATAATATGAAGACAACATATTGTGGGATGATTGGTTCACAAAACGTTACAAAATGTTTGTTGCAAGACTCTTTCTGTTGGGACAAACAAAATGTATGTATAAAAGAAACACAAATTAGGTACTCCAGCTTTAACTCACCTTTTTCAGTTTGTTGTTGAAGTCTTCCGCTCTCTTTGTCTGACTTTCGCTAGTTTCCTTTAGAGAGCTTAACTGGCTTTCCAATCTGGACACCTACAATGCAATAGAGGTAAAACATATACACCGCGGTACCTAACCCCTTTAAGATGGGCAGAACAGTGAAGTGTCCCCATGACCAAACTTCCTTTACCTCTTCTTTGCTGGTCTGTAGACTTGATTGTAGATCCACTACCTGCTTGCCTTTGTCCCGGTTGGTCTCCAAGAGTTCTTCAGTCTTTGCTTTCAGTTCTGACGTGAACCAGTCGATCTTCTGCTGCAGCAGCTCCTTTTCCTGCTCCATGCGTTTCTCGCGGTGTTGCACAGCCGACTCAGACGACTGCAGCTCGTCCAGTTTCAACTGCAGATCCATCTTCACTTTGTTAGTCTCGACCAGCTTCTCATTCAGTCGAGTCAAGTCCTCTGTGTGAATATATCATTATCACATATTGGCAAAAGTGAATCAATCAATCATCATTTATATCTATAGCACAGTTCATACAGAATGCAAGTGCTTCACATTGACAATTTTTTAAATCAATTAAAAACACACTGTAATTAAAAACACACTGTAGAGAACGGGTTTGATTACAGTTATCAAATGTTTTATGTCAATACCATTCAGGTTCTCCACTTCCTGCGTCCTCTTCTCCAGCAACCGAGCCAATTCCCTTTTTTCGGCTTCAATTTCATATTTTGTTTTAGTTTGCTAATGAAACAAAACAGTTATATTGTTATGTGGTGATAATGTAAAGAACTGTATTTCTAACATATACCAGATTATTACAATCAAAGTAACATCTACCTGCTGTGGTTGAGAGGATTTTTCATCTGCTGATTCTCCCTCGATTCCTTTCAAAGTGCTCAGCTCCTCATCTGCATTAACAGTCCATTAGCCACAGAGAAACAAGATAAAGTATAATTTCATTAGTGTGTGGGTAAATATCTTACTAAGTTTTTGGTTTTCCTCCTTCACAGTTTGCAGGTCTCTTGTGGATGCAAGGAACTGCCCCTGGGTCTCTGCGAGTCTCTTTTCGATGTCAAAATACTGCTGCTCTGCAAACGGAAGAAAGTTTAAACCATTTTGCAGTGATTGATACCAACTTATATATTGAATGAACAAATTGTCTGTGGGTGAGAAGAAAACTTAAGGACTAACAAATTACTAAGATTATTCTTCTGTCCTTTAGGTACTATGGTTGTGCATTTGTCCATTACTATACACTTCAAATTATGGAACCACTGGAGGTCAAGCCTTTATAATATTCCATCCATCCATCCATTTTCTTCCCCTTAATCCATTTCTGGGTCGGGGGGGGGGGGGGGGGGGGGGGGGGGGGGGGGGGGGGGGGGGGGGTTGCAGTCAGAGCTGCACCCAGGACACAGAGCACCAGCCCCTCACTGATCCTCCTGCAGGTGGTGAGTCCACAGGAGCTGAGATCTTTCAGTGGGGGCTTTTAGGCAAAGTGGGGTTAAGTGTCTTGCCCAAGGACACAACGACAGTAGTCATCAGTGGGAGTTGTGAAATAGGTCTTACGGTGGGCTTGAACCCACGACCTTCAGGCCCAAAGGCCAATGCTCTACCAACTGAGCCACTGTCGCCCTTTATAATATTCAACAATTGTAATAGTCTCAATAACTAATTTATGAATGTACATATTTTGTTTTAAATAGGAAATATTCTGTATTGTATTTAGGGCTTCAATAGATTAATTATTCAAAGCTGTGGTATCTCACTTTGATACCACAAAAATGAACTATGTAAGTCACATCTTTAGAAAAGCTCTCAGCTCTCAGTGTGTGATAGTTGATATGTTTTGTAATAACATGAAGACAGCTTGTTGTGGTCCGACTTCACTAAGTGTTACTTGGCCAAGATTATGTATATTGTGACAAAAGATTATTTTTTTTATGAAACAAACAAAAAAGTACTTTCTACATTATTGTACTAATGAACATTTCTGTAAGTAGCATTGTGGAAGGGTAATATTTCATAATGTGTCAACAGAATGTGAAATGTTTTTGTAATAACCAAACAGTACTCGTTTGATTGTAAAAGCGTTATGGGTTAAAAGGTGTCTTTTCTGAGAGTTTGAATGGGATCTTACCACTGTCTGCTTTGAGTCTCTCCCGCTCGGTCTGCAGAGCCTCGTTAGCATGTTGCAGCTCTGTCACGAACCTCTCCAGCTTGTTCTGGACGCCTTTGGGGAGTTTGTTCAGCTCCGTCCGCTCCAGAGCTTGAAGCAGGACAGCTGCCATCTCTGTTCAAGTCCTACCGTCACCAAAACACAAGGAAATTCAGGACAAACTTTACAAATTACGAGTTGTATGACTTGTGTTTCCACCGCGACGAAAGACAACTTGACCCGGAAATAATATACATTTCCTTCAACATAAAGGGGCGTTAGTATTTATGTTTATTATTTATTTATAATTGTGGATTTTGTATTATGACTTTACTTCATGTCTGATTCATAGTTTTAACTAAATAATAAAACATTAAACAATGAACATTGAAATGAACTGGTTAAGCTGAAGTTCCAGCTAAAAACCATATGTTTATGCACATTACATTGTTTGCTATAGTGTATTTGTTGAATTAAATTGAAAATTTAGAAAATTTGACTCGCAAATGCCACAGGAAATACAACATTTTACGGGAGCTTGATTAAAAAACGTAGAATAAGTGCGACGGATATACACAAACATGGGCAGTCTGGGTAATGTAGTTTTGCTGCTTTGCTGACGAACCACCGTGGCCACCTGATATGCTGAAAGCATATTTTGAACTGTTTTAGTGAGGTTTTTGTCGTAGTCAGTGTCTTAAATAAAAGGTAAGTGTTGTGAAATGATATTACCGTGACAGGTGTGTAAGCCCGACTCATTGTTATAATTGAATACACATTTTTGTAGGTATATGTACTTGCATTCCTCATGTACAGTGAGACGAATACTTCATTCTTCACTTGTGTTTAACTGAACCTTTTGCTTTCTGTTTGCATAATCGTGGCATTAAAACAAGGGTCAGAGTAACTAGATGTTCTATTATGTTCTCTCCATCTAGAAAACATGGGTCGTGGGTACTTTGTTGAAGATGCTGTGGAGAGTTACCTGTCTCAATTGTGTGAACTAAAATCCACTACAGTCACGGGATTGCTTATTGGACAGGTAATATTATTCGTTTATAATTGTCATACTACTGTAATTGCTTTTTCACCTAGTTATTACATTTGTTGTATTTGTTATAGAGTTCCGCTCAGAGGGATTATATTGTCATGGCCTCAAGAACACCTCCAAAGGAAGAGACACATGGAAATACTTTTGATAAGGATTGGATTACAGAGCATGCTCGTCAGGTAGACAAAAGACTGATGATAATTTGTGGTGCTCCAAAACTCATGTGTAAAACTTTACTTGCTCAGGTGTCCCGGATGCTGCCTGGAGGTTTGTCTGTTTTGGGAGTTTTTTTAATCACTGAAGCAGATGCCAAAGACACACAAACCACTCTGCGACAGGTTAACAATATTGTTCTCTAAACATCACAATATATTTCTCTACAAATAAAAAACAATGTTTTGTTTTTTTATTCTACTGTATGTAGCTGGTGTTTTCTGTGGAAAACCTTATTTGCTCTGAGCGATTGTGGAATCCAGAAGATGACGATGTTACAGACTGTGTGACTTTGCACATCAACTCCAAAACAAGAAAGTATCCTTTTATTATGCAAATACTGCAGGTCTTATGAAGAACACAGTGGACAACATGGTCTGTTTCTTACTTAACCTACTATCACAGAACAGTCTGCAGAACGTTTGACGTGAAGGACCCGAAGGTTAGCAAAACTGGAATGAAATGGCTTGGATAATGAAACTCGTCATCTATTATTTTTCCTGTGCCAAATCCCAGGCACTTGGTAGAAAACACTAGACTTATTTATATAGATAATTGTGTTACTCAGTAGCTGTGCATACAACTGAGGGATTTTGTTTTTACTCTTTTAAAGTACTGTGATTATTTATGCTTTTAAAGCCTTGTGTGACTGTCTCTATCTTGTGCCATGCAAATAAACTTGCCTTGCCTTGCCTATGTATACTCCCTGTGTTTCAGAGTATGGCCAAACCTGCAGACTGGAAATATCAATCTGGATTGTGCTCATCATGGGTTTCTGTGTCCTGTTGCTCAAATGTCAACATCTATTTCCCGCTCCCAACGGGACAAAACACCCCAGAAAAAATGGAGAATTGTATTAAGGTTGGTTCAAGATTATAGGTTACAGTACAATCAATGCAATGTGGCTGTTTCTAAACTAGTTTTTGGATTCAGGAAGAACTCCAAATCTGGGCAAAGCAAATAGAGACTGGAGTGACTTTAATTGATGGTAAAATGTTTTCAGATGATGCCGAACTCACGACAGGACAGGTATGCTTGTTAGTTTATATTTCCTGTTGGGAAAATAAATTGGGAGTGTGGTGTTAAAAGTCTAACGTAAACACCAATCTGTCAATTTGTCTTGATATTTATTGTCTTGAAAACAGCTGCTATTGTTTTTGACAAAGTAATTATCAAAGTTTTCACCAACATTGAAACTAAGCGAGTTTTCAGAAATTGACAAAAGGTTGTACCTTAAGAGACTCAGGTTTACAAAAAAATGCATTTTAATTTCAAGGAATAAGTTATGGGTTAACTTTAATCCTTTTTTGTTTGCAGAAGAGGAATGCAAAGCAAGCGTACACTGTTCAATTGTTAATTTCTCCGGTAAGAACTAATTTGTATCAGTTATTTACTTTCTTTATACACACCAGCACACTCACAGATCAGAGAATATTGCTCCACGACACATGTCTGAGTGGACTGAAAGATGCATTCATTTTGTTTTTAAATCTGTGTAAAGGTCTTTTTGAGTGAGTGACCCGAGTAAGACTAGCTGGTAGTAATGCTCTCAGCGAACTGGATCCATATGATTAAACATAAAGCACCAAATGAAATACATGCATAATCCAAAACTCAAAATAGAAACAAAAAAATCAATGACATCTTGGTTGATATTTGTTTAGAGTGAACACAGGGTAAACGATGTGGTGCAGAAGTGTGGAGGCAGTGTTTCCATCAGAGGAGCCATCCACAGCCGGGCGTATGTGCACAGCAACAAGCCAAAGGCCAAACTCGCTGAGAAGGTACTCATCCAACATGTACGATATAATAACAGACTATGAGGTGCTGATTTATGCTTTGTATTGTAGCTGCTGAAGAGGGATATCATTTCTACGCTGGCCACAAGAGTTCATATGGTTTTGGAGGAGTTTGTGACAGCAGGCGGACAAAACATCAACGTTGGAGGTATTAGCAGCCGTTTAACAACCACTGCAGGGTAGGGGTTGTGCGTTCAACCATTCGTCGAGAAGAGAATGAGAATGAGTGCGAATATTACTTTAGTATGTTTGAGTAGCAAATGCTGGTGAGGATGTGACAACAAGATAAATGGTGTATTCATACCTGCAAAGGCAACACTTCAAAATTAGGATTTAACTGAGACATATGACATAAGTTTTCATCATGCTCCTACAGTGATCTGTGATTTTCTTTCCTATGGAATCTTGAAAAACTGATTGAGTGAACTCTACACTGGTGATTGACCCCTAAAGCACTCACCTCTGTTTAAACAATAAACCAGGATCAAAGCAAGACTACATATGTTAAGAGCTGGAGCCTGGATCAACACAGACTAGACCTTGAGAAGTATAGGCAGGCGGTTTTATTTCCAATTTTGTAGTAAATCATACACATTTACTAGAGACTCTTTCTTCTGTTTTGTTGCCTGCCAGGACAGGGTCTTAAAACATGTTAAAGTGAATTTAAGCCATTTATAAAGTGTTAGTAATCTCAGAAACATCTTCTCATTTCTGTGAGACATTTCTAAAAAACAGGAAGCTACGATGAAGTCTACCCCATTGCACATTAATCATCTCAAACACATTATGTGGAATATAGAATACAATAATGATTAATATAAAACACATAAAGATAAATGTTAATACATGAAATGACTGATAATAAAATAGGCGATAATAGTTATTCTCTATGTTCTTTGTGTCAGTGTGGACGTATATTTTATTCAACAAACTTCTCTAGTGTTTATGCTGTTTTTCAAATCATGCCCTTTTGTTTTCCATGTTTCGCTGACATGTTGGATATTCCTTTAGGTGACCTCCTCGTCCCCAGGCGGATTTTTTGTCCTGTGAAGGGCAGGAGTCCGGTGTGTGTTTGTGATTATCAGTTCAGTGATGAAGGACCCTCGGAGGCAGCAGTGAGACTGAAGGAGATGTTGGACCTGGACGCAGCAGAAGAAGACATCGACACAAGTCAAGAGAATGTTACCATAACAACGTCAGACATCAAAGCAGGTGGGTCGATATGAAGCTCTTGTTATTTCACGTATATTATTATTATTCATGTTCGTCACAATGTCAAGCTATTACATTTGATTATACGGAGACGAAACTTTTTATTCATTGAGGATAGCACAAAGGAGAAGATACTATGTGACCAGTAAAATCAAATCAATCACGCCAATGTAATTCTGTAATTCTGATTGTTTATGTGTGTTCTTCAACAGGTAAAACTCAGAAAATTAAAATATTGTTCAGAACTTCTGTAATTCAACTTACAATGTGAAACTAATATATGACTTGTTAGACGCAAAGTGAGATGTATCAAGCCTTTATTAGTAATCATCAACATTACACCAAAGGCATCCGTCATGTTGCATGTAATACGTCACTATCATACATTGGCTCCATATTGTAAGGTGAATTACAGGATTAAATAGTGTTTCCTCTGGAGGAGCCCTCTGCACTGGGAGCAGTGGTCGGCTGTGTCTGTGGGGGTCTGACTCTTGGACCTGGCGGGGGCCCGGAGCCTCAGCTTCATGTCTCCTCTGGGTCCTGGGGTCCAGCTCTTGGACCCGGTGGGGGCCTCGAGCATCGGTTTCACGTCTCCTCTGGGTCGTGTGTCGTTCCCTGTTGCATGCAGGCGGCTCTCTGCTCCTGGTGCAGACGGCGCCTTGAATGACAGGTTTTCAGCTGGTTGCATCTGAACCCTGCCAAGTCTCTCTCTTCATGGTTTTACTGTTTTACTGGTGTGTGTGAGTGTGCATGAGAGCGTGTGTGTGTGTGTGTGAGAGTTTGTGTGTGTTTTGGTCTGCGCGTGCGTTCTTAATGGTATATGTGGTTTGGAGTGGGTCTGTTGGGTGGTCGGGGGAGGGGTCATGGGCGGGATTGTTTTTAACCAAACTGTAAAGCACTTTGTTTTGCATTTTCTGTAAGAAAAGCGCTTTATAAATAAGATTTGATTGATTGAAATAAATGTTTGAACAATATTATTTTCTTAGTTTCACCTGTAAATCTATATTAATGGCTGATATGTTGGTCACAGAACCACAACCGGAACAGATTGAGGAGGCTTCACCTCAAAGGAACAACTACATTGGTAAAGTTTCTTATTTGATATTGTTTCTTAATATGTAAGTTATTTGAAATTCTGCCTCCTTTAAGTGATCGGTTTTTAATGTATGCATTGTATTGTTTATAACATTTGTGACAGTAGTGTGACTGTGTGATTCTTACAGTACCACAAAAAAAGCACAAAATAAATCGCACAGTACATTTGACTGTGATGTTTCTTGTGAAACATTCAGACGTTTTGGCCAAGGTTCACATGTTTGGTCATTCATCCACAAACAGTGAAATTGGTCCATTTTGTTGGACTTTTTTTTTTTCTTAATCCATTTTATATTGAATCTGTTTCTGTATTTTTTCTAGGTGTGGTGATGGCATCTGCAGTCGCTTTGCTCGCCACAGCGGCTTCACTTCTGTACCTCAATGATGTTTGACATACAGTCCACAATAAAGTAAAACTAAATTACTTAATTGCATTTCAGTAATTTGAGTCACGATTCAGCTTGAGAAACATATGGAAACATCCATGAACAGAAGGTTTCACTTCATCTCAACTCCTTGGATCCTGCGAATCCATCAATCCTATATGTATGAAGAAGGAATTTCATATTTGTGGGAAATATAACAATAATATATTTCTATTGTGTGGCACAGTGGTTAGTGCCATATCCAGCCCTTTCTGTGTGGAGTTTGCATGTTCTCTCTGTGTCTGCGTAGGTTTCCTCTGGGTACTCCAGTTTCCCCTGTCACTAATAAGAATCAATACATTGAGAGCATGAATGGATTGTCATGGTCAGAGACTTTGGTCAGCATGTAGAGTAAATAGAAATGACACATCACAAAAATGGTGACGAGCTTTGTGTAACCTTGGTCTGTGAAATGTTCTTTATAAATAAAAATGACTTATTACTTACATTATGAAACAATCAAGACACAAAGAATACATGAGATAAAGATATATCTTAATAATTACGTCTTAATAATGTCACATTTGTTAAAAAAGACCTCTGCTCCTTTTTTTTTTTTTTACACCCAAAAATCAATTCTTCATATACAGTAAAAGCAGTCACTTATTAACAGCCAGTTTGAGGACAGATCCATGGAAATAAGTGTCTTTAAGGTGTGGAGAGCTCTGGTTTCAGGAGAAATATATTTTACTGTTTGTAATCTTTTCTTTTGAATATAAAAGCTCACATATTTCAAAGTTGATTCTTGCTGTTTTTAAGACTTTGTAAAGGAATTATGGTTATTTATTAGTAGTACCAGTATATTAAGATAGTAGTTAATAATCCTGAATCAGTCTTGCTATACAAGTTTTTCTTTGCTTTGTTGACACTAGTTGAGGTGTGGCCTAATTGATGGTATCACAGTGTTCTTTTTAAATATTTAATCTGATTGAATCATCATCTGATTCAAATTGCATGAAGTGACACTAGCTGCGTGAACTGACAACATTATCTGCATAAATCTGAACTTATATCTTCTATATCACATTTTGTTGGACTTGCTCTTCTTGTGTGTTTTCATAATCGTGTTATTCTCAGAAGTTTCCTGAGGTTTATCCCTATTGGAGGTGGAGTTTGGACCTTGCAGATTATTATTGCCGCTGTTTGATTTGCTGCAGCTGAAACCTTGAACTTGGGCACAGCTTTAAACTTTGACTCCTGCACCGCGAGAAAACATGTCTTTATGAAATGTTTTAGTCACAGAGAAAAGTGAGAAGTGGCAGCAGCAGCAGCAGCAGCAGCAGCAGCAGAGGAGGGAAGAGTCGTCCCGGACAGTGATTCGGAGCTCGTTCCACTCAAACACTAGAAAAGCAGAAACACTGTTTTTGGACCAACAGACTGAACCATCATGTTGAGCAAAGATCTCCCAGATATTGAGGTAATCTTCTTATGTCATTTATATGTTCATGATTATTTGTTTTTCATTCAATTTAGTGTAGGTTGTCTATTGCTTTGGAGATATTTAATGGTATACAACAACAAAAAAGATTAGTTGGATAGGACAGTTGTAAATTCATTTAGCTATATTATTACCATTCAAGAGGTAAAATGTCAAATGTGAAGACATGAAAAATCCGCTCAGCTTTGTTGCCTTAAATAAAATTGTATTTTATGTACAGACCATGAGTTTTGGCCTGAGGCCCTTCATCAGACATTAATTATTCATGTAAATAAAAGACACATCATAGCTGTGCGGATTTGTCTCTTTTTTCATATTGTGCACTTTTTTTAATCCAGCACGCTAGATTCGGTCATTTGGATTTGCCGCCTTATTTGAAACCTTGTAAATGTATCAATATAATGTCATCTAATGTTACTTGAGATAAAAAAAAAATTACGCAATTAAATTCTTCACCAAGGAACCACTCCCCTGTCTATGCAGCAGAATATTGTACATTTATGGTTTGTTCTGCCACTTTTTAGCTTTTGTTTGAATCACATGACAGAAATTAAAACACATTTTCAAATAGTTACGCATGTAATGCGTGACGCATTCAAACATGTTTAAGAGAATGTAGTAGCCCTGACTGGTTACATATGTGCCCTGTGGTAACCTGTAAGCTGTGTTATGTAGGGGGCATGAGGGAGTTGAGTAAGGGGCACATGTTCATGGATGGATGTGGTTCACGTGGAGCAGTTGGGCAATACATTACCAAAGCCATTGTAAACAGAAAACGTGCCTTTATGACCCTGAGTTTTTAGGACACATGGATAATCCTGCACTCCAAAGTATGATTGTTGTAGAAACCTTCCTGAAGCAGTTTTGTGTTGTAAGCATTTGATAAAGGTATTTACTTAATCACATCAGTACAAATCTCTGCTACACCTTGTTTAGAAAATGCATATTTATGGTGTTTGTAATTTGTCCAGATCAATGTAAGCATGCATTCAGTATTTTGTTTTGTGTTGTTTTCAGTTGTATTCTGTTTTTGTTTTACATTTAGAGCATCCTGTCTCTGAACCCGCGTGTGAAAAGTCATGCTCAGGTCGTGTCCACAGCAAACAAGAAGAAAGAGAAGAAACACTGGAAAAGAAACCAGGAGAGAAACTGTGATGTGAGTGTCTGCTGAAACTCTTATCGGAGCATTTACAAGTCATTTGATTACATTCTCTTTTTTAGTCTTGTGTGAAGTTAGAAAACAACTTTGATGACATCAAACATACAACACTGAGTGAACGAGGAGCTCTGCGAGAAGCTCTCAGGTGAGAGTACATGCATGATATATTTATTATTATGTATTTTTAGATGTCATGATAGAAAGTCATGCATTAATCAATCAGAGATTGATTGTCTGATCCATTTGCTTCTCTCTACCTCATAATGTGTCATAAACTTATACAGTAGATATTACATACAGTGTGACCATAAAACAGGTTAAGATACATAGTAATTGAATGGCCACAGTGCAATGAGAAAAACATGAATTAAACAAATACGTTTTGTGGTGAACTGGCGACAATGTGGTAAACATCTCTGTGGTTATTCATCTTCTCGGATAGAAGGTCACATGTTCAATCCCTGTAATGGACCGGATGTAAACTGTACATACATTACCTAATTACTTGGACTATCATCTGTGCTCAGGTGTCTTAAATGTGCCGATGCCCCTTGCCAAAAGAGTTGTCCCACAAACCTGGACATCAAATCCTTTATCACAAGCATCTCTAACAAGGTAAATCTCCATATGAAAACTATGGCTTTCATGACTTCAAATTAACTATGCTTGTTTGTGTTTTCAATGTCAGAACTACTATGGCTCAGCAAAGGCCATTCTGTCAGACAACCCGCTGGGCCTCACCTGTGGCATGGTGTGTCCTACGTCAGAGCTGTGTGTCGGGGGCTGTAATCTTTATGCCTCAGAGGAGGGACCTATCAACATCGGGGGACTGCAGCAGTTTGCTACAGAGGTATTGTTACATTTGTCTTTTGTATATATAGGGGGGCAAAGGAAAGCTTATATAAAATCGTCTTTTTTTCGTCAGGTATTCAGTAAAATGGGAATCCCTCAGATCAGAAACCCTGAGCTCCCTCCGGCCAATGAGATGCCAGAGTCTTACCACTCTCCCATTGCTCTGATTGGTTGTGGCCCTGCATCAATCAGCTGTGCTTCCTTTTTGGCCCGACTGGGATATGACAACATCACTGTATTTGAGAAACAGACATACACTGGAGGACTGGGGTATGTCGTTATGTGCCACTTTACAATGCAACACCCGAGGCCAACTCCCTCTTACTACTGACATATTATGTTATCTTCTGCAGCGCATCAGAAATCCCTCAATTCAGACTTCCTTTTGATGTTGTGCAGTTTGAAATCGGTTTGATGAAAGACCTAGGTGTCAAGGTGTGTTCCTTTACAGTACATATATAAATAACATAATAATTTTATGTATATTATTACAATTGTTCAGTGCCAGTGACACTTGGAGAGGGATGATCGGGAAGAACGGCCCCCCTGATCTGAACCCGAGCGGTGTTCAGTTGTTGGACTTCTGTGCCAGTCACGGCCTGTCCATCACGAACACCATGTTCGAGCACAAGGGTGTCCACCAGTGCACGTGGCACCAGGACACCCTAGGCCGGAGGTCGATGATCGACTTTGTTGTCGTATCATCTGACCTTCGACCGCGTGTCTCGGACACTCGGGTAAAGAGAGGGGCGGAGCTGTCAACCGATCATCACCTGGTCGTGAGTTGGATCCGCTGGCAGGGCAGGAGGCCGGTCAGACCTGGCAGGCCCAAGCGTGTAGTGAGGGTTTGCTGGGAACGTCTCGCTGAGCCCCCTGTCAGACGGACTTTCAACTCACACCTCCGGGAGAGCTTCTCCCAGGTCCCGGCAGAGGAGGGGGACATAGAGTCCGAGTGGACCATGTTCTCTTCCTCTATCGCCAATGCAGCGGCTCGTAGCTGTGGTCGCAAGGTCTCTGGTGCTGGTCCCGGCGGCAATCCCCGAACCCGGTGGTGGACACCGGCAGTAAGGGATGCCGTCAGGCTGAAGAAGGAGTCCTATCGAGCAATGATGGTTCGTGGGACTCCGGAGGCAGCTGTCCAGTACCGGCAGGCCAAGCGTGCCGCGGCCCGGGCCGCTGCAGAGGCAAAAATCCGGGACTGGGAGGAGTTCGGAGAGTCCATGGAGCATGACTATCGGTCGGCCTCGAAGAGGTTCTGGCAAACCGTCCGGCGCCTCAGGAGGGGGAAGCAGTTCTTTGCCAACACCGTGTATGGTGCAGGTGGAGGGCTGCTGACCTCGACTGGGGATATTGTCGGGCGGTGGAAGGAATACTTTGAGGTTCTCCTCAATCCCCCCGTCACGTCCTCCGTCCAGGAGGCAGAGGCTGAGGATGTTGGGGCGGATACTTCCATCTCCCTGGCCGAGGTCACCAAGGTGGTTGGCAGCCTCCATGGTGGCAAGGCGCCGGGAGTGGATGGGATCCGCCCTGATTATCTAAAGTCTCTGGATGTTGTAGGACTGTCTTGGCTGACACGTCTCTGCAACATCGCGTGGCGATCGGGGGCGGTGCCAATGGAGTGGCAGACCGGGCTGTTGGTCCCTCTCTACAAGAAGGGGGACCGGAGGGTGTGTTCCAATTATCGTGGGATCACACTCCTCAGCCTCCCCGGTAAGGTCTACTCCAAGGTACTGGAGAGGAGGCTACGGCCGATGGTCGAATCTCGGATTCAGGAGGAGCAGTGTGTTTTTCGTCCCGGTCGCGGAACACTGGACCAGCTCTATACTCTCCATCGGATACTCATGGGAGTTCGCCCAACCTGTCCACATGTGCTTTGTGGATTTGGAGAAGGCGTTCGACCGTGTTCCCCGGGGTGTCCTTTGGGGGGTCCTCCGGGAGTACGGGGTCCGGGGTCCTCTGCTGAGGGCCGTCCGGTCCCTGTATGACCGGAGTCAGAGCTGTGTTCGCATTGCCGGCAGTAAGTCAGACCTGTTCCCGGTGCATGTTGGCCTCCGCCAAGGCTGCCCTTTGTCACCGGTTCTGTTCACTGTATTTATGGACAGAATTTCTAGGCGCAGCCAGGGGCCGGAGGGGGTCCGGTTCGGGGACCACAGGATTTCATCTCTACTTTTTGCGGATGATGTCGTCCTGCTGGCTCCAACGAACCAGGACCTGCAGCATGCACTGGGACGGCTTGCAGCCGAGTGTGAAGCGGCTGGGATGAGAATCAGCACCTCCAAATCTGAGGCCATGGTGCTCGACCGGAAAAAGGTGCCTTGCCCTCTGCAGGTGGGTGGAGAGGTCCTTCCTCAAGTGGAGGAGTTCAAGTATATCGGGGTCTTGTTCACGAGTGAGGGAAGGATGGAGCGTGAGATTGACAGGCGGATCGGTGCAGCGTGCGCAGTGATGCGGTCTCTGTATCGGACCGTTGTGGTGAAGAGGGAGCTGAGCCGAAAGGCGAAGCTCTCGATTTACCGGTCAATCTTCGTTCCCTCCCTCACCTATGGTCATGAGCTGTGGGTAATGACCGAAAGAACGAGATCGCGGATACAAGCGGTCGAAATGAGCTTCCTCCGCAGAGTGGCTGGGCGCTCCCTTAGAGATAGGGTGAGGAGCTCGGTCACACGGGAGGAGCTCGGAGTAGAGCCGCTGCTTCTCCACGTCGAGAGGAACCAGTTGAGGTGGTTTGGGCATCTGTTCAGGATGCCTCCTGGACGCCTTCCTGGGGAGGTGTTCCGGGCACGTCCCACCGGGAGGAGGCCCCGGGGAAGACCCAAGACACGCTGGAGAGACTGTGTCTCTCAGCTGGCCTGGGAACGCCTTGGGGTCCCCCCGGACGAACTGGAGGAAGTGTGTGTGGATAGGGAAGTCTGGGCGTCTCTGCTTAGACTGCTGCCCCCGCGACCCGGCAACGGATAAAGCGGAAGAAAATGGATGGATGGATGGATATTACAATTGTGCGCACGCTTATACTTGTGTTGTTATTCTTTGTCAAATGATGTGTAGGTGTTGTGTGAGAAGGGGCTCGGCCTTAATGGAATGAATTTGACATCATTGAAGGAAGAAGGATTCAAGGCTGTATTTATAGGGATTGGTAAGTCCAAATCAAATGTTTAGAATAGAAAATAAACATTCTTTATTACATATTTAAAGTATTTTGCGTGTGTTGCTAGGTCTCCCTCAGGCCAACCGAGCTAAAATCTTCCAGGATCTAACAATAGAACAAGGTTTCTTCACATCTAAGGACTTTCTTCCGATGGTGGCCTCTGCTAGCAAGAAAGGTACATTCAAACTCAACAAAGAGTTTATCTTCAGCCACAATATTAAAACTGCTACATTTTTCTAAGTCTGCAACAAAATAGTTTCTGCCATTTGAAATGGGAAATGTTAATGTGTGATTTATTGAAGGACTTTATAAAAATACTGTTGTGCTCTTGCCAGCAGCGTGTCAGACAACATTATGTTTTTCTTTCCTCAGTTCAGCAGGGTTCAAATGTTCAAATCCTTGCCTGAGCCCAATGATTACCCAGCTTCTTCACTTGTAGATATGATCATTAACTAATTTCAAAATCAGTTTCAGATCAGACAGGAAAGCTCAAAAGAGAGGCACAACATGTTTTCAAGATGAAGAAGTTGTTGTTGTGGTCTAATTAGTCCGCAGGATGTCCTTTTTACAAGACTCAAGAGTGGGGGGGTTGTTTATGATTGTACACCACTACAGTTATAAGCAACTTGTGTACTGGTTTGAAATTATAATAATTTGCATTATTCATTCAGTTTTTTGTTGTATTAAAAAAATGGGTTGTACTCTAAAAGTGATCTGACGTCCTGATGGATTTGAACATTTGCCGTACAACACATTTGTGTGTTCCCATTTGCAGGTATGTGCCAGTGTCGCTCCTCTCTGCCCGAGCTCAGAGGAATGGTGATCGTTTTGGGAGCTGGAGACACTGCGTTTGACTGTGCCACCTCCGCCCTGCGCTGTGGAGCCCGCCGAGTCTACGTTGTGTTCAGGAAAGGATTCACTAACATCAGGGCTGTTCCAGAAGAGGTATCTACAACATTAACGTGCATGGAATAGGCTAGTAACTTTGTTTTTGCTGTTTTGATTATGAGTTCATAGAAAACAACTTCAAAATATTTTGAGAAAAAAATAGAGAAAAATGGAGCCAAAATATGTTTTTGATGAATTATTACTAATTATGTTTTGTGAAACAATATTTCATTAATCACATCATAACAAATGAGTTTATAAGCGTCAGTCTGCAGTGTGCCTGTTTCAGCTAACACAACTTTGCCACATTACTGTGCTACTTCAGTTTTTGACCAAAATAAAGAAACGGAACTGATTGAAACACTAAGAGTAAATTGGTATGACTTAAATCGAACGCCAAACCAGATGTTATACTGTAATAGCAAAGTACCTCGTTCGTCAAAATCCTCAAACCAGTCAACAACTGAATACACATCATGTTTTTCAGATGGAGTTGGCCAAAGAGGAGCAGTGTGAGTTCCTTCCCTTCCTGTCGCCCCGTGAGGTGATCATGAAGAATGGTCGAGTGGCAGGACTTCAGTTTTGCCGCACGGAGCAGAGGGAGGACGGGCAGTGGGAGGAGGACGAGGATCAGATTGTGAGGCTAAAGGCCGATTACATCATCAGTGCCTTTGGCTCCATGTTGGACGACTCTAAAGGTACAACACCCCATCAGCAAATGACCTGCATGAGTCAGTTTTTTATTATTACCCCTTGTCCTATGTTTATACCTGATTCAATTAAAATGTTTAAGGTGGCCGGAGGTAACAAGAACTGTTAAGAAATTATATTTCTAAATAGCATCTATATATTCCATAGTTACATATTTGTGATGAACTTGTTGCATTACTGCTTCCTCGTAACGTGACTATAATCGTTTAATAACAATTTTGTTTCTGTCTTCCTGCTGTTTGAACACACAACCTTACTTGAATCCTTGTGCTCACCTTGATGGCTTGTTTTCTGGGCAGTGGTTGAGGCCCTGTCCCCGGTGAAGCTGAACCGCTGGGGAACTCCGGACGTCAACAGTGAGACCATGCAGACCTCGGAGCCCTGGGTGTTCGCTGGAGGAGACATCGCCGGTTTGGCCAACACCACAGTGGAGTCGACCAATGACGGCAAGCAGGCCTCTTGGCACATGCACCGATACCTACAGGTACCTACACACAGACTTCACATGTTTGACCAACAGAATAAAATAATACATGGTTAAAGCTGAGGTACCGATTTTGTTTCATGAAAATACAGAGAGACATGAAAGTGAAATGTTGGTGGCAAATGTTATTAGAAATCATGTTCTCTTTAGCGTACAAAACACAGCCCGGTGAGTCACTATTTCACGCTTTTGGCTGATAGCTGATTGGCCGTCGTTTTCCCTTTTTTGTCATTGTTACATTTGTAGATACACCAGCTTTAAGCAGTTGAGTTTGATATAAAAACACCTGACACAACATTCTGTGCAACTAAACCTCAAATTACCTATGTTCTTGATGGTAAAAGTAGTGAAATTGTGTTTTTCACTCATGGTAATGTTTATATTTTCCTCCAGTCATTGCATGGACAGTCCGTTGACACGACTCCAAAGCTGCCGTTGTTCTACAGCGCTATTGACTTGGTAGACATCAGTGTTGATGTTTGCGGAATAAAGTTTCCAAACCCGTTCGGTCTTGCCTCTGCTCCTCCCACCACCAGCACCGCCATGATCCGCAGGGCCTTTGAACAGGGCTGGGGGTTCGCCTTGACCAAGACTTTTGGACTGGACAAGGTACACTCATTAAACAGAAAACAAATACACACAGGTCAGACAGATAGAGATCCCTCGTGGGGTATTTCCAGGTATTGAGGGAAATCAGTGACAGCAAAAACAACATTTGGGGGACCATTGTTTTGCAATTTCACAATTTAGACATACACAAAAGGTTGTATTCATGTAACATCACAACATTTCAAAGAGTCTACAGTTTAACATTTTGGTGGAGGGTAGCTGGCATGTTTTTGCTGGTAAGTAACTATCGTAATTATCAAAAGTCAGACTCTAGTTTTAGTTTAGAGCTAATTTCTCTGTAATTCTTGGACCAATCCACATGAAACATGAAAACTGTCACAATGTTCCACATCTTCTTGCCAGTACATCCAAAATCCAATTAACTACCAAACTACTTTTTGGTGCCATAACACTCACAAACATAACAACAAAATACTTTCAAACTACAAATGACAAATTAATTGTGTTAAATTATTTTTAATATGATTACACCATTATTACCAAAGAGGTTTCAATGAGTAATATAGAAATAATTATTAGTGGAAAAAAAATTGAAATAAAAAACAGTTACCAATTAAGAGACTTTGAAGAGTTTGCTTTGATGGTCTCTGGTTATTCTGTCTTGAAATGTTTGAGAACCTCAGTTGTATTTATATGAAAGGTTGATATACTGTAAAGACCTGTGTTGCTTTAACGCTCCGAATGTTTTGTCAGGATTTGGTGACCAATGTGTCTCCACGTATTGTCCGTGGGACGACCTCTGGCCACGTGTACGGCCCGGGACAGGGCTCCTTTCTCAACATTGAGCTCATCAGTGAAAAGACTGCAGCCTACTGGTGTCAATCTGTCACTGAGCTTAAGAAGGATTTCCCAAATAATGTGAGACGAATTAGATTGAATTGATCTTGTTGATAATTATAAAATACTATTTGTTGCCTTTCAGGTGGTAATTTCAAGTATAATGTGTAGTTACAACAAAGAGGACTGGACTGAGCTTGCAGTAATGGCAGAGGTGAGTAGAGTTGGGTGTTAACTTCTGGAACAAAAGGAAGCTCTCAAAAACAAGACAAATACTATAGCTACTAGAATATTAGATTAGTTCTGACATATGCAGCAATAAAATCTAAAATTATTAAGATTGCAAAATGTCTCTGGTTTTTAGGGTTCCTACAGAGTCTTAAAACGTCTTTTGGAAATAATGAAATTTAATATATACTGTAGGTCTTAAGATTTGTCCTGTATGCATTTTCTCTGTCCACTATTATTCTCATTAAATAACGAAGCCTAAACAGAGAGTGGTGGAGGCTAAAATAAATAAATATGTTTGTTGTTGTATGTATGTTTTTTAATGTTTAATAATATTTTAGTTGGTAGGTCTGTGAAATTGGATGCAGTAGTTATTCATTTCTTATATCTAAATGTTCTGAATAAGCTGTAGCAACCCTGTTTGTAAATGTTTCATCTTTATTTATTATTATTTTAATTTGTTGCTGTTTAGAAATCTGGAGCAGATGCTTTAGAGTTGAACCTGTCTTGTCCTCATGGGATGGGTGAGAGAGGCATGGGATTGGCTTGTGGACAGGTACACATCTGAGTAATATGTGGTAAATAACCATAACATAACTAAACATTTAGAAATACTTCTTTATGTTTTTCATTAGGACCCAGTGTTGGTGCGGAACATTTGCCGTTGGGTGCGTGCTGCCACCACAATTCCATTCTTTGCAAAACTCACACCAAATGTCACCAATATTGTGGACATTGCCAAAGCAGCTCATGAAGGTATCATGGCACAAAATATTGATACAAATGTTGTTCTTTTGTTTCACTCATGTGTTTTTATTTCCAGGAGGGGCAGATGGAGTGACGGCCACAAACACTGTGTCTGGAATGATGGGTCTAAAAGCGGATGGTTCCCCGTGGCCGGGAGTGGGAGCAGGAAAGAGAACCACGTATGGAGGCGTGTCTGGTAAGAAGCAATATGATAAGAACACAAGAAATTAAAGCTGGGGTACCTAACTTTCAAACCACATAAAATGGAACTATTTAATGAAATACATCTGGCTAGTTTCTTGCTCTAAAAACATTTCTGCTCCATTACTAGTTTTCAGTTGCATGTCTCACGTTTATTTATGTATTTATTTATGTATGGATTGCCCTCTGAGATTAATCATCTCTTTTTCGAGGGGTCCTTATCATCTGTCTGTTACAAGACAAAGGTTACATACACAGAAAAAGAACAGACAAGACCATTATAAACAAAAGCAAAGATCAGACCAGAAGATTGTTTGCTCATCCCCAGCATGCCCATCTCCAACCCTTGTCCCAATCAGCTCCTACAATATTTTAGGATACAGTTATTTGATAAATGAGATAAAAGGGGTACATTGATTACACATCAGTTTGCATTGTACAATCAGTGGTCACTGATTTTTCTCAAAGTTACTTATAGCAATCACATGCTTAAGTTGTGTAAAAGGTTTAACAATTTCAAGTAGGGAAATAGATTTAATTGAAGCTGCAAGATTGTTTGTACTTTTTAGACAAAAAGGTCTGGACCACCTCACTTAGCCAATCAGCTCTCAGCGTCAAATAGTGACTCACAGGGCTCTTTCTTACATGCATGCAAAATATCTTTTAATTACAAGTTTATTCTACTCCTTCTGTTGGGCAAATAAAATATATTATATAGAGGAAAAATAGGCGAGGTACCCCATAATGTAATGAAATTTAATACATTACAAGTTCCTGCAACAAAAACAGTGTCACACTAATGTATCCTCATATGGTTCCCTTACAAATACTTTGTATTAATCCTTATTAATATCCAGGTAATGCAATCCGGCCCATCGCTCTGCGAGCTGTTTCAGCTATTGCTCGAGCAATTCCTGGTTTCCCCATTTTGGCAACTGGAGGTATCGATTCTGCCGAGACGGGGCTGCAGTTTCTTCATGCCGGTGCATCCGTTTTACAGGTGCTGCAGTAAGACTCAAATTGTAAAGAAATATATAGTATGTTTTTATTATTTACATGTTCCCCTTGTTAACGATGTAGGTCTGCAGCGCTGTTCAAAACCAAGACTTCACTTTGATTGAAGACTACTGTGTTGGTGAGTCTTTGCTAAATTAGCTTTATTTATGTATTTATTTTATGGGGACAACAGTGGAAAACAAATGTGTCAGACTTTATAGTCAAGGCTGATTGTCAAGGCCCCTCAAAAACAGATTACATTTACTTTATACAAAGGTAAAAGATGGACTCAATGTGGACAAGCCTGAGGACTGAGGTATGACAGAGAAGATGGACTGTCAAAATGATGTGTTTCTTAGGGAACGTTTGTGCTTTGTTGAGAGCCCACAGTCATATAGTAAATGCAATGATGAATGATTCCTGTGTGCAGGTCTGAAGGCTTTATTGTACCTGAAGAGTCTTGAGCTGGAGAACTGGGATGGTCAGTCTCCTCCAACAGAGAAACATCAGAAAGGAAAACCAGTGCCCCGATTAGAAGACTTAGTAGGAAAGGTAAACAACACTATTTTTTCATGGCTTGGATGGTGTGAGGAATGTGAGCTGGGGGAAGACCAGTGTTCCCCAACCTGTTTGAGCCGTGGCACACAATAACATGGCACACCACCAGCTGAATATGATTCAAACATGAACTTCTGCAGCCTTTTTCATGCCAAGTCATTCTCATTTAAGTGTATTACATATAAAATAAAACAAGCACAAATAATCTAATCTTTTCACATGTTTACCAATTAGGGGATATTGTATCATTTCCAAAGGCAGACCAAACAACATAGGATGCCATGGCAACCTGATCTGTGTTTGGTTTACTGTAAAGCACTTTGGTCACTGTGTGTAAAGGGTTCTATAAATAAAGTTGAGTTGAGTTAATGTAGAACATATATATGAATGCAGTTCAATGTTTTATTTTTGTCTGCAGAGCCTCCCGAGCTTTGGGCCTTACCTCACACAGAAGAATGAGGTAATAGCAGAATACAAAAAGAAGCTCAGAGACGTCGGTGAAGTGGATTTCACCGAAGTCAACATTAACAAGACCAAGTCGCCCAAGAAGCCAGTCCCTGCGGTGAAGGTGGGACACTCCACAGGCTCATCCACAAGACAAACATTAGATTAGATAGTGGATAAATAGATACATAAAAGTATTAAAGATATAAATTTAAAGATAATTGTAAGATAAATGAATTCTACGCCTAAAGAAATGTGTGTCACTGTTTACAAAGCTACAATGAGTTAGCAATGACCACCAAACCCTTATGACATGGCCTCATCATTTTGCTTGATCATTCAAGGAAATATTTTTATCAAAATTGTATTTAAATTCTCCCTGTTTCTTAAGGGTGTTATAATTGTCATTAAAAGTACAAGTACAAAGTATGTTTTTATTTTTGTAGGATGTTATAGCCCGAGCTTTGCGTCACATTGGAGCTTACCAGGATCTTGACAACAAAGAGCAGGTAAAAGTTAACGCATCTGAAGAAGTGCATAGTGCCTGTTTGTAATAAAGATATAAATTTGGACTTTTCTATTGTTATATTTTACTTTCAGGTGCAAGCGCTTATAGATGAAGAGATGTGCATCAACTGTGGCAAATGTTATATGACTTGCAATGATTCGGGATATCAGGTACACTGGTTTTTCATAATGTGAATGTGAGGAAAAATTGAAATGCTACTTGTTTCATTCATGTTTCATTAATTGACGTATTCCCATTAAATAAGGCAACATTTATTTATTTGTTCAATCTTTTTTCCTCAGGCCATCACCTTTGATCCAGAGACCCACCTTCCATATGTGAATGACAACTGTACGGGTTGTACTCTGTGCCTTAGTGTGTGCCCAATCATAGACTGCATTAAAATGGTGACAAGAACGTCGACGTATACACCAAAGAGAGGAGTTCCTGTTAATCCAGTCTGCTGAGAGGAAGAACTGAGGCCAAACGTACTGTGTAATCCACTTGTAATACATAATTCTAAAAAATTTAACAGACAAAAAAAATCACTGGTATAATAAGTGTTTATCATGAAATATTGTTTGATTGTTGGAATAAACCTTTTTCGTCAAATTCAGTTATGATTGAAAGTTGTCAACCAAATCTTTCCAGCTCATTTCTCACAATTACATTCCATTATAAAGTCATTGTCATGTTAATCAGAACTACACCATAAATTGTGTGTGTTTACAAATAAAAGCATTTCTGCTCCACAGTCAAGAGCGCCTGTGTTTGTTGGGTCATCAGACAGAGACAAACAATTTTTGGGGATTTATGTAGAAATTATTTAAGTCAAGGCAAGGCAAAACAGGACAGAAACTATCACACAAGCCATTTAAATCATAAATAATCACTGTATGTCAAAATGTATTCTTTAGGCACCACAGTGGTAGAATTATGCACTCCAGAATCCAGGACACTTCCTATATAGTCACCTGGCTTCCCACAATGTTTCCCTACATTGTTTTTTTGTTTTGTTTACATATTCTTCTATTATTTAATATAGTCGTCTTCTAGGTTTAAGTTTAAAAAAAGAAATCCAAAAATGATTCCTGTTATTATTTAACTTAAGCTGCGTTGGTGCTGTATTCAAATGATGCGCCTGCCGCCGCATGCACTCTGTGAGTAATAGGCTTATAATGTTTCTTTTTAGTCTTGAGGATACAGTCATTGCATTATAATAACGTAGAATGTATCTAATAGTTTGTACTCATGCAACATCGGCCAGATGGACCTTATATCCCTTAAAACGACGCTAATTATTTCCATTACGCACGCAGTGGCACTGGTGCGCGCGCCTATGTTTGCGCTCGAGTTCCCCCTACTGGTTTGTAACATGTTAAACGCTATCTGCTGTTTATTTATCTGTCATACAGTTCTCACATTTAAAAGAGGATGGATTGCGGTGACAGTACATGAATGTTCATTTCAATATTTGCTTGTGCTTGTTCTTTGTCAGTTTAAATGGCACGCCAAAGTAAACGTCTGATTTCATTGGGGTACTATGATGAAGATAAGCCCAAAGTGTCCTACAAAGAGAACTTGCAAAGGTAGGATGATTGTGGGTAAATAAGGCCGTACAGTCTATGTGTGTGACCGTATGCCATTTTGTGTCATTGTTTTTTTTTCCAGAGTTTTCAATAAGAAGAGGAGACCTTTGTTTGGCAGCCCTAAGCATGATGGTGGGCCTGCACCAGCCTACAACCACTGCTGTATGTAGTTGTGCATATATATGTGTAAAGATGCAGATGTGAATCATATTAAGTGGCTCACTGACTTCTCTCACTTGTGTCTACAGTAGGTGATGAGTGTGAAGTTGAACCTCTGAAGCATTTGGACCGATCCATTGAGTCTATATCTGGCATATGTAAAGCTGAGAACAAACCTGACACCAATGAAACAGACCTAGGCCGAAAAGATCTACCTCATGAAAATGACGATAATCTGCCAAACCCTAACAAATGTAATGTATTTGTTGTGTTGTTGCATTTTTAAAACATCTTTCCAGTCACTGACTTTATGCTTTTATTGCAGTTTTCATTCGATGCGTTTCCCTGTTCCTGATCATCATGCTGAGTGTGGCTGCATCTCTCAATGGAGGAAGTTTAATCCAGATGAAACATTTGAATCATTGGTGGGCTGCATATACTGGGGATTTTGAGTCTGTGAAGATGGTTCAAGCGGAGTTAAAACAGCTACAACAAGAGATGATTCAACTGAGGAGTAAGCTGCTACCGATAGGACTGTCTATGCCAAACTTTGCACTGGAGTCTCAGGGTAAGCAACAGCATAGGAGCAATCAACACTTTTCCAAAATGCTCAAACAGAAAATATATTGTTTTACTATTCTCTTGTTTGTATTGAGTTTGAAATATTGTTATATAATGTCCTGAAAAATACTTGTTTGTTTTTTCTAAGGAGCACGTGTCATACATGCACATCCATCACAACATTATCACCCTCCATCTCAGCCTCCGCAAATGATGTTTTTGGGCTTGTCCTTTTTCAATTCGCTCTATTCCCCAAGGACTGTCATTCAGGTACTTAAATAAAGTGCACCAGTGACAAATATAAATGTAGGCTATATTGTAAAAAGGATGTTTCTAAACCACAGTCTTTTGTTGGTCCCAGGATACGAGTTTAACAAAATCATTTATTTTTGTACATTCTCTTTATTTGTTTAAAAGAGAAGAACTTTCTAAACAATACGATTTGTGTTTTTTTCCTTTCTCAAGTCATTTTCAAGCATCTTGCATGATACTGAAAGAATCCCTTGGGGGAGGAATTTTAATGATTGTTTGTATTGGGCCTACATAGTTTTCATGTAAATGCATGGCAAGTAATAGAAAAGCAAGCATTTCAGGGGGACACATATTAACTAAATGTATGTTTTTAAACACATTGTTTTGTCCCACCGCAGGGTCACACAGAGGCACTTGTTCCTGGTCGGTGCTGGTCTTTTGCAGGTCAGCAGGGACGTCTGTTCATATCTCTCTCTGAGCCGGTTACTGTTTCACATGTGACAGTGGGTCATATCTCCAGAGACCACGCTCCCACTGGATTCTTATACAGCGCTCCACAGCGTTTATCTGTCTCTGTGAGTAAACGTACACGAAAACACTGACACATACGTGGACAACATTCTGATTTTAATATTAAATGTATTTCAGGGTTTTTTGTCTGTGGTTGGAAAAGGAACACACTTGGGAACTTTTGAATATAATCCAGAAGGAGAGATTTTTCAGACCTTTGAACTTCCTGTGAGTCCAAAATATTGCTTTTAACACTTCTTAAAAACTTGTGTATGGTCCTAGAAGCTTGTCTTTTCTTTCTGCAGGGTCCCAGGCAGACTTACAGATGTGTGATGCTAGAGATTCTAAGCAACTGGGGACATCCAGAGTATACATGTGTATATTCCTTTAAGGTGCACGGAAAGACTGTACAAAACACGACTTAATAAAACAAATGATGATATTTTGTTCCGAAGATTTACTGGATTATGCTTCACAGTGTATGTGAGTAGTAATATAAGTGATGGAATTTTACAAATCTTTCGGTTCAGACATACACCCCCAACAATCTGACGCGTTGAGGCAGTCACTCTGATCACCTAATGCTGGGGTGTCCAAACCTTTTAGTAAGAGGGCCACATTAGTTCACCAAACGTGTCCATTACAACACGGATTGACTGGATTCTGGCTGTTCTGGACTTTAAAATGTCAATGAGGTGTTCCATGTCTTTGCCATGTCTGCCATGTCTTGTCATTGGTTCTTGCCATGTCTGCCATGTCTTGTCATTGGTTCTTGCCATGTCTGCCATGTCTTGTCATTGGTTCTCATTTGACAAAGCTGAAGTTGGCTGAATGACAACTTACACACCAGATACATTAGAATCATACAATCAAAAAGAAAAGTATAGTCCAACGACTGGATTCCAGTCATGAGCTTTACAACGAGGTAAGACATGTCCATGTTGGGAGAGCTGGATGACACTGTGACTTGTGTTTATGATCTCAAAGACTTGGGTCAGTGGCAGAGGGCCACATAAAATGGCACAGATGGCCCCAATTGTCCCGCGGGCCTTATGTCTCCCCAAATGAATCTCCTGTGTTAGGTTATAATATCTCCCACTGTGTTGTATTTTATCTGTTTTTACTGTGAAGGGCTTTGTGGCCTTGGTCTGTGAAGGGCGCTGTATAAATAAAGCTTATTTACTTCTTACTGGCCTCAACTACAGCAGTGCAGATGTAACAGCAGACACCGGCCACACCGCGGCGCTGTGCCATGTGCCGTGTGTGAGTGCAGCATCCATCTTTGACTCTCCGGGTTCAGTCTGGTCTAGGCATCGAGGCAGAAGTCTCCAAACTAAGAGGACAAAGAGCTGCGATGGACGGGTAATTTTCTCATCTGTGCAATAATGCAGACCCATATTTGCACAGTGCATGCACCTGAAGTATTTTTACTATTCTAATGCAAAGTAGTGGTCCCTTGAATCCATGCTACCTGCATTAGCTTAGCTGTTAGCTGCTCTGGCCATTTTACAAAGGAAAATGTGACGTCCGCTGCCATCACGTATCAAATAGTCACAATATACAATAAAAATGACCTAAGAGCGAGTACACTGGGTTGTTGGATTGTTGCCTATTATCTATTTCAATTCTGATATTTTGTATGTTAATAACAATCTTTTAAGTTATATGACCCGAAAATGAACACGCCTGTTGCCATAGAAACTATTGATGGAATCTCCAGTCTTTATTTCTTTCTATGTGTTTTTAACATATTAGCCACATAAAATGAAAGAATGAATGAGTCTTTATTCGGACAATACAAAATAATATAAATAAATAAAATAAAAAATAAAACCTATGCATGTATGTACAATTTGTTCCCTCAAGGAATAAATAAAATAAACAATCATGTCCGAAAGGGAGCAGGGAGATGTTAAAACATGAATTGTACAGAATAATAACTGTTCTCGTTTGTTTTCACAGTGATGTTGCTGTTGGCGTAAAGGTATGTATTTATTAGGCCCGAGCCCCGAACGGGGAAAGGGCCTATTGTTTTTGCTCGAGAGATGTCAAATTCTGCACTTTGATCCTTAATTTCAACCCCCTGAACATGCATGAAACATCAGACCCAAATATCAGACCTGGTGAAAAATTTGATATTCTGGTGTTTATTTTTATGGGACTCAAAAAATGCCAGAACAGCGCCACCTACAACAGCCAATGGGAGTTTCAGAGGTCAAGTTTGTCGTAGAGCCATGAAATTCGGTACACATGTTTCTCAATTCAAGATACGACCGAAATGTTATTATGGCTCCGCCCTCTGACAAACAGGAGGCCCATAAATTTCACTGCAAAATGGAAAAATTATCCGCAATCATTTTCATACATGTCGGTTGGAAAGCGACTCCTCCTCGGCCGTTTCACCGATTGGCCTCCATATCACTCCAAATTGTCTAAACAAATGTACCATCAAAATGACCTCAGGGATTTTTGATCAGTGAAACGTTGTTTGAGCAGCGGAGTGGCAAAATGTGAGTGTTTATTGGCCGTTTTTCACAACATTAATTTTGCTCCCGTTTACACAAACAGTCTGATTTGCACAAAACTTGAATCCAATGTTCAACTCCAGGGTTTAGGTCAGGTGAAAGTGAAATATTTGAAATTGGCCCAATAGCGCCCCCTACAGATTGAGGCAAAGTTTTACATGGGGTGCCAAACAGCTCTAATCATCATATTCATTACAATTTGACTAACGTTCTTCTATGGCAACAGCAACAAATCATCACACGGCGGCCCCACCTCCGTTGCACCGTGCTGCGTGGTACGGTGTGGTGTGGCATAGTGCGGGGGGTTGTGGAGCGGCGCGTTGCGGCTTGGTGCGGGGTGGCGTGGTGCAGATCCGCTTGGTGCGGGGTGGGGCGTGGGGCGGGGCGGCGTGGTGCGGGGCGGCTTGATGCATGGTGGCTTGGTGTGGGGCGGCTCGGTGCGGGGCGGCTTGATGCGGGGCGGCTTAATTCGGGACAGTTTGGTGCGGAGCGGCTTGGTGCTGGGCGGGGTGGTGCGTGCGGTGCGGCGAGGGCCGTTCGACGCCGCTTGCGGCCTTAATTGTTGTTTCAAGTCTACCTTACCTAGCTATACAATGAGAATGTTTAATTTAATACAGTCTATAGATGAATGTATGCTTATTCCTTCTTTCTCATCTTGCAGAGAGGCTCCGATGAGCTCAGCATGTACAGTAGCAGCTCAAGCATGCCCACAATGGCCGGTGGGTACAGCCTCATACACTGTCATGTTGCATCAAACTCGATGGCATCATGTGTATTATTGTCACATACACATGATAAACAGTGATATTTGTTTTGTTTTTATGTAGATAATTAATTATACAGAACATTACATACTGTTTTTGTGGTCCTGTTTAGCCAACGATAGCGACACTAAGAAACAGCGTCTGGATGACCCGCTTCCCTCTAGGGTCCTCCATATCAGGAAGCTCCCCAGCGAAGTATCAGAGACCGAAGTCATCGCTCTGGGTCTTCCATTTGGGAAAGTCACTAATATACTGATGCTGAAAGGCAAAAACCAGGTACAGATTTAAAACATTATCCTTCAGAGCTATCGCAACCAATGCATGCCCACTCAGCCTTTTTTTCTATTTTTGATTTCCAGGCCTTTTTGGAGCTTGGTACGGAGGAAGCGGCTATTACGATGGTGAATTACTATGCTGCCGTCACACCTCAGGTCAGGAGACATCATCGAAATATGTTTTTGTCTGAAGCATGTTGTAACATTTGTATCTTTTATAGGTCCGAAATACTCCAGTATTCATTCAGTACTCCAACCATAAAGAGCTGAAGACTGACTCTGCCCTGAATCAGGTATAATTTTATTTAGATTAGATGTATATCACACATTTTTTTTAGTTTTTAAAAATTAGTAAATTCACTTTTTGTTGTACTCTAAACAACTACAAAATAATTACAAAAATATGCAAGATATTTTGTTCAGAATACCTCCCCTATCTACTTCTCTTTATTTGTTATTTGAATAGGTTTATTTAAATTAAATATATTCCCATCAATAACTATATAGCCATTATGGATATATAACCTTCAAATTGCACTAATTTCTAACTAGCACAGTAGCAGTAGTCCCCACAAAATAAAAATAATCTGCTACTTAATTGGTCAGTCAGACTTTGGAAAAACTCAATGGCCTCAGTAAACCCATATTGGTCGATGGTCAAATCATTTCTGGTTTAAATCATTTTTTGGTGTTGTAACATTGATTTATTTTTCAATCCAGAGGGCTCAGGCTGTGCTTCAGGCGGTGTCTGCGGTGCAGGACGGCAGCTCTCCCTCCTCTGAGGCTGGAATGATAGAACTGGCTCCTCCCCCAAGCCCCGTCCTGCGCATCATCATAGATAACATGTTTTATCCGGTGACACTTGACGTTCTGCAACAAGTAATTTTTAGCCTCTTCTCCTTTTGTGTTGCCTGCAAGTCAAATGTTTTGGCAATTTAAGTTACTTTTTTTTAATTATGTTCAGATCTTCAGCAAGTTTGGAACGGTGATGAAGATTATAACTTTTACCAAGAACAACCAGTTCCAGGCTCTGCTGCAGTTCAGTGATCCGGTGAATGCTCAACAGGCTAAACTGGTGAGGGACATTTTGTTTTATATGAATCTAGACTAAATTGAGTCTTGAATGTAAACACTCATCTCTCTTTTCAGTCTTTGGATGGGCAGAACATCTATAACTCATGCTGCACTTTGAGGATAGACTTCAGCAAACTGGTCAACCTCAACGTTAAATACAACAACGATAAGAGCCGAGATTACACCAGACCTGACTTGCCCACTGGCGACGGAGAATCAGTCAGCAAAGATCATTCTTTATTGGGTGTGTTTAGTGTTGTTTTTCTATTCGATTCATGTGCTGTGAAAAAAAAAACAAGTTTGATTATATTCTTGTAGGGACCCCATCAGGAGCTCTAGCGTCCTATTCCAGTGGAGGTGGCTATTCGTCCTCTCTCTCCCTCTCACAGACTGGAGGTAAATGTCATTGTATTATTGTTACGTGTTCTACATCAAGTGTGCTCTGACGCTAATGGTTTTTCTTTGTGTTCTAAACAATGTGCTCATTCTCACCTGAGGCCTTATTGTAATGTTGTGTTTGGTGTTGTTTGTGCGACAGGAGCCATCAGCCCTCTGAGTGCCGCCGCTGCAGCTGCCGCAGCTGCCGGAAGAGTTGCTCTGTCTGGGTCTGGAGTGTCAGGAGTCCTGCTCGCATCCAACCTGAATGACGAGGTACACAAGCAAAACACATCACTCTGGTTTTGATCAATCTTCAGTCATTAAAACAGACAAAGTGTTTTAGTTGTACTTTTGGTAAGATATAGCTATCTCTTCAATATTCTTTTTACTTTCAGTGTAAAACAATCAGACCAAAGCCGGGCTGGTGTGAGCCAAAGTAATTCTATATCTGATAGTGGGTCTTTGATAAAAAAGTTATATACTAAAATGTCTACTTACTGAATCATTTTCTGATGGTAGGTGACTGTTAAAACACCAGTAGCTCTGGTTAAGGTCAAATAACATGCTTCTTCCCTTCCATTTAGAGCAAAACCTTTAAAACTGCTTTTAAATATAATAAATATACATACCGTTATTGTTGCAAATTATTCCGTTTAAACAGTAATGTTGTTCCATGGTGCCTATGACTTGACTTTAGACTTGACTCTCATGTGTGTCTCTCTGATATGTTTCTCTGTCCCACTCTATCAGAAGCTCTTCAGAGGCTTGTAGCTCTCAGCTCCTCTACAAGCCTGAGAACCCAATCACCAATCATCCACTGTCTTTAGTGTCACATAAATAAATATGGTGGGGTGCCATCATTCACCATATTTAAAAATGTCAAATATACAGAGTCCTACAGCTCATAAATATGGCCATCAGTGCTTGAACAGAACACTTACTGTTTTGTGCAGATCTTTAGACATTGAATCTGCTTCATTGTCAATTCCCTTTTGGTTAGTTTTGCTCCCACCCTTTTCTATTCTCTTGTTCGGTATAAAGTGTGCCAGATGTAGACTCCAGCAATTGTCACAAATAATGGATTTGTTTTCCAAATAAAATGCATTCTTTTGTATAAATCAATCAATAAAATGTATTTGTACAGCACAGTTCATACAAAATGCAACTTAAAGTACTCCTAACAAGGCCCGAAGCAAATCTGTTCTATATCCACTATACATCTGTTGGTGCTGTATCTGTAACATTGAAAAATCATTATTGACCTTTACTCTTTATAGATCAGTAGCAAAGAGATTTACATTTGGCCTTTTGCTGCTCTGGCCACTGTCGAACAAGCCTACTGTTTGTTTGCTTTTCGCCCATTGCTCAATAAAGTTTGAGCGCCCCATCCTTTCATCTGGGATGTGTGAGTGAGAGAGAGGTGGTGTGTTTGGAAGCAGTAATCATTCCTTTGATGTTCCACTGATGCTCTGTTTACTGACCTCTGCTTTGGTTTTTGTCCTCCTCTCCTCCCCTCCCCCTCTGCTCCCCTTTACCCACATGTTTTTGTTGATTTATTTTCTAAACATTTTCCCCCCCAACTCCTTGCTCAAATATCCTGTAATTTAACACTTACCCGTCCCTCCACTTGTGTCCCCTTCCTCCTGTGATCCTAACACACTCTGACCCTTCCCTGGACGTCACATGTCGTCTCTCTCTTTGCTCTGCCCCCTCATCACGGACACCACCACCGTCCAACGCTGGGCGGTCTGTACTCCGTCTGTCCTCTCCTCTGCTCCTCTTCTGTCCTCTGCTCTGCGGTCTCTCTCTCTAAAGATGGTCACGCCTCAAAGTCTCTTTACCCTCTTCGGTATGTTCAACCTCTTCTACTCTATCTGTTTAGCTCTCTCTGTTAATCCAAGTTTTCTCCACTCATGGTTGTGGGGTGAGATATCGCCCAAGATTCTTTCTTCTGAAAGATTACTTCTACCTAAAGTCGCTCAAAGGAGTGAGGCTGGCGACTGCTGCTGTGAGAACAAACATTAAAATGCCTCTTATTCTGCTGAACCAAAAGTTATCTAGTTAAAGTTGAAGACGTTAAAACTTTATGTCCCGTAACAATTCAAACACCAAAATGCTTTGCTGCTGAAACATTAAAAAGCAGAAAGCAAAAACAGTAGTCTACATGTTAAAAGTGTGATAGGAAATCTAAATAGAATATTAAAATATGAAAAGCTCAAAGTGGCAATATGTGCAAATATGTGTATCTCTTGATTTATTTTAGCGCATCAAGAGAGGAGTAAATGGCATTGCTTGGTGAAAAAGTAAGGGGCTATCCTACTCTAATAAGCAGGGATGTCTCAATCATACTGGACACGGTTTATTATTATTCTCATGGTTTCTGATCGTAGTCCTGCGCTGGTTCAGGGTGCCTCTCGGCCACAGAATCGAACAGCTGACGTCACTCTGTTGCAGAGACTGTTGTTGGTGGAATGTCGTGTCGAGCAGCAGAATAAATTGTAGTGACAAATAATTGAAATACTGGATCTGTTTCTTCGCGTCAGAGTCTTGAACTTGATCGGGACATCCAGGGCAGTGCTTTAGTGTTAGATTGTTTTGGTCATGCCACAATCACACAGCGCTCAGCCAAAAGGATGTGGATCATTTTAATGTTTGCTTTCCAACCTTTTGTTGTCAGTCGTGTCAATTCTAACGAGCTCCTAAAGCCTCTGCTTTATCTCTCCTATCGCTTTCTCTGAAATGATCAGGTACAGCCACAATGTACTGCGGTGCTCATTTCAAATGCCAGATCATGGGTAACCTTTTACAGTTATTACCGCCACACAAACAAGACACTGTCAATCAGCCTCCGTTTTTATGAAGACATGGTTTTAACGATTAGAGGTATATTTTAGTCCTGTGTTTCTGGTTAAATGTATGTTTTCCCTCTGTGCTCTGTGTGTTTTAAAGAACTGTTTGCGGCACTATTTTCTGGTTGGCAGTCGATAAAATGACCTGTTAGCATTTGAAAGGTGTTTTTTTTTATTTAGAAGAAGTCAAATGGGAAGACTCCATTTCTTCTTTTCATTTGTCTTTCTGGCACTAACTTTATTCCTTCATCCTTTACACTTCTCCTGTATCCTTGTCGGCTCCATCTTTCTGCTCTGTCTGTCCTCGCCCTCTCTCTCTGTCTCTGTCCTCAGGCGTCTATGGCGATGTGCAGAGGGTGAAGATCCTCTACAATAAGAAAGACAGCGCTCTGATCCAGCTGGCGGATGGCAACCAGGCTCAGCTCGGTATCTGCTCACACACACAGAGCCAATGTTGCTCCTTTTAGTTCTGATCCAAGACCTAACATTCTGTCATTTATTTTCTTTATGCAGCTATGAGTCATCTGAATGGTCAGAAAATATTTGGCAAAGTGATGAGAGTGACTCTGTCCAAACATCAAACTGTAGCTTTGCCCAGAGAAGGCCTGGACGACCAGCTCCTCACTAAAGGTAGTACTACAACCACAACAATAAACCTATTGTCTTGCTGTAGTTGTTGCGTTGATGACGTCTTCTGACTAAATGAAAAATGTTTTAGATTTCTCCGGCTCACCACTACACCGATTCAAGAAGCCTGGGTCCAAAAACTTTCAGAACATATTTCCTCCTTCGACCACACTTCATCTGTCTAATGTCAGGTAATTCTAATCATCATGTGCACTTTACTACTACAATGGGAGGTGATCACTAAACTCTTCCTGTATTTCTTTGTCAGAGAGAATATTGGTGAAGATGAGCTTCGTGAGCTGTTCACAAACGGTGGAGGAACCGTGAAGGCGTTTAAGTTTTTCCAGTAAGATAGAATTATCTGTGTTACGTCTCGCTCACAAAGAAGAAACTCGTCATGTGTGTAATTTGCTCGTATTTGTTTGTAGAGACCGTAAAATGGCTCTGCTTCAGATGTCGTCCGTGGAGGAGGCCATTCAAGGGCTGATCGACCTGCACAACTACGACATGGGCGGAAATCACCATCTCAAAGTCTCCTTCTCCAAATCCACCATCTAAACGTCACACCGCAGCCCAGACGCCCTTTCCAACGCACCCATGTTCCGTCTCTTCTGCAGTGTGAATGGGTCTGCAGCGGCAAAGACAATTCATGTTTAAAACAAATGTGAAATTCATGTCGAGCTGTAAACATGGCGTTGGTGGTTGTTGTTGTATAGCACTAGCAAAACCTTACATGTTGTATATTATTTACTTCACACGTTAGTTTAATTTACTGGAGTGGCATTTGGCATCAACTAGAGTGTTCCTGCTCAGGATTAATTTAGTTTATTGCACTTTTTTGTTGTTGTTGAGACATTTCGTTAACCTATCTTCGCTCAGTGTCTGTTAAACCTGAGTCTTCTACAGTTAGCATTTAACTTGTGACCTTAAAATCACAAGTTGTACTGATGTTTTTCCTCATGAATGTTCTGAAGCGGCCTGTGTTATGTACAGTTCTATGCGGAGCCTCCATATGCATGCAGGGTGTAAAATGTGACTGGTCTCTCCGGGATGAGACGTGTTGGGACCAATGTGCCTTTAGTCTGATTTTCGTGATCTGTTTGATTATGGTTTGTGTTTTTCCAGTTGATCTTTGGTTAGTTAAAAATAAGTTTAATGTTTTCAATTTTGTGTGCATCATGCTTTCCCCATTTTCCCACTCCTATGGGGGTTGACTATTTTAATACAAGATTAAATGTATGTTTTGTACCTTATATACATTTGTGGAGAATTTTCAGATCAGTAAAGGAGTGTCTTGTGTGTTTTGTTTTTTTAAAGAATGGTCCAGAGTCAATGTTGTGTATGTAAAAAAAAAAAAAATGCAGTCATTTATTGAACAATCATTAAAGTTCACTCACTGCTGCTTTCTGTCCTTTAATTTTCAAAGCCATTGATATGCGTTTTAAAGCTGGAGTATCTAACTTTCGAACTAAGTAAAGACACTAATAAAACACATGTAACTAGTTTCTGGCACTAACAGTTTGGTTCTGTCTTGAGTTTTAGCACATGTGTTTTTGGTCACATCTTCAGATCAGCTTTGTCAGGCAAGCAAAGGTCAGCTCAAAACAATGACTCCATGGTTCTTTCAGAGAAGTATCACAAAGTTTGAAAAAAAAAAAAAAAACACTCAGATTTTTTCATATTTTACAAGACTTTCTGTTGGACAAACAAAATGTGGTATTCACGAGAGGAAACGAGGTTAATAAGGGCTTTGTCTGATAAACATCCACACTAATGATATTCTTAGCATTGAACCTCACACAGAATAAGTTAAAAGTTGTGGGATACAATTGTTTTTCTTAAACAATAGGAAAGAGCTGCAGTGAAGTCATCCATTTTAAATCATGGACTGAAAATATATAGGTCACAGTTCAGGCCTTTTATTCCTATTTCATTCGTGTTTTACAGTCTTTAAGATATCGGTCTATGAATGATGGTTTAGTCATCGTCCAGCCTGTTCAGCAAAATCTGAAACATATATGTTATATATATATATATATATATATATATATATATATATATATATATATATATATATATATATATATATATATATATATATATAATAAACGATAAAATATCGTGCCCTGGCTGAGCAGTTCGTGTGCCAGTTCGAAGCTCTCTGTTGGGACGGGGGTAGTTATTCTGGCCGTCGCTAGAGGGCAGTGCGTGACCAGACTTATTGTTTAAAAAATAGTCTAATCTTTTGAAGGTAAAACAAAAGCTTTGACTTGTTTTGAACCACGGTCGGTGAGGATTAAGGGGATGAAGTTACCGTCGGGGCCATCGGACAACTGCTGTCCTGCAGATGGTGGGCAGACTCTGGTCCCATGGGGCAGGTGCGCTATGAAGCCACCAGGGGCCATCTTGGACCTGATCACCTGCGGGGCCCTTCACATCCACGTGCATAGGGTCAGAAGAAAACAATGAGTCCTGCTGAAATCAACGGTAAAAACGTTCAATTGTATATTCAGTCCTCGTCTTGAGTCTGTAGCCTGTTCGTCCATGGGAGCGGATCCCTCTCTCAATGTGAGCCTCCCCAAGGTTTCTCACTTCTTTCCCCAATGGTTTTTTTGTGTGTGTGTCGTTCCTTGGACCCTCCTGCTCTGTCTTAGGGCATTGATGATCTGGTACATTCACTAACATTAATTTTACTATCCAACTAGCTCATACTCTATACGTCTATCTGTCAATGAATGACATACTCCTGTGAATCATGAACGTGTGAATGAACTCCACACTCACACAAAAATTGTTCTGGAGATTTTACATGGATTTAAAACTTTTTTATTGTATAACAGGTCCCTTTTATCTAATTATAATAGTGTATTTGTTTTTTATATTGCTTTTCATTACACACAAAGATGGCTCACATGGCATTATTCTTTCCCTCTGTACAGGGTGCTGATGCTACTACTACAGCAGTCACAGCTGCCCTGAGGCACACTGGTAGAAGCGAGGTAACCAGTTTGGGCCATCGGACCACCACCACTCATTCACAGTAATGTGGATGAAGAGTTTTGGTATGGTAAGTATTTAAATGTCTTGCCAAAGGACACAATGCTAGTTAGGCACTTTACAGCCGCAGCCGCCCCACTGTGGCACCTGGTGTTCCCAGACATCTCCCAGGAAATGAGATTTAACATGTACTGATGTTCATGATAAATCTCATTTCCTGTGACATTTGCCTCAGCTGTGAAAGAGAAATTGTTAAAATGCAAAAGTTGCTTATTTTACAGTCAAATAGATCCAATCCTCAGACATCAGCATTTCCCTCCTTTATTTTTACTTTCTGTGCAGAGACTCTTCCTACAGGGCCTTAGCTCCACAAAGACCATTGGTTTGTACTCCAAAGCGAGGGATTTTATAGACAAAATGTGGGTGTAGGCTGGTATAGGGTTTGTGTATGGAAGCAGAATTCACACAGGAAGTGGAAAGAGAGAAAAGCAGTATAGTCTTTTGTTTGTGCTGGCCAAAGCCAGGCAGTGAGTGAGGGGGTGGATTTATGACCTCGCAGTCCCTCCCATGCAAATAACCTCAGTCCTGTATTTGATTCACCTATCATCCTTTTGTCCTACACCGCACCATCCTGCCACGGGACAGAAGAGCAGTGCCTCAGGTGGATGACTGCAGCGTGACACAAAGTGATATCATGTGGTTCCAACACAAAACCATATATTTTAAATGGGTTACACACATGGCACCCATCCCCCATCGCTCTGAGCTCGTCATGTTTTAATTACACATCAATAATTTATGTGAGGATCAATAGAGGTTGCTCAGATGGACAGGGGACACACTGCCCCCACAGCAGGCTTTGGAGGGGCTTTCTGACATCACTGGTGGAGGCTCGGATGTTACTAATTGGGAAGATATTTTGCATGCATTAAATGATATATGATTTACTTTAACCTTGCTGTTTTTGTACATGCTTGATTTTGTATAGTTGGGAATCTTGTTCACGTTATGGAGAAACAACTGATTTCACAAGGGACATGCATTTCAGATCTACAGAAGATAGAAAAAAATTATATGTTATAGTGTTATGATCTATGGGGAGAAAATCAAATGAATGTCTAGTCCCTGGTATGCCACAGTACTTTTGCTCCTCTTTAGGCCTGTTTCCATTACCACAAGGTGTAAACCAAGACTATGAAGCCAAAAAACAAGACATGTTTTGAATGTTTTTTATTTGTTCCAAAATAAAATTATTTAAAGATAAAGAATTTTAAAACTAACAATAATATTGGGTTGCGTTCAGGTTGTAGAACTCTCAGCTGGGGGGCAGGTGCCAATATAACTCTATAGGAAAGAAGCATTTTTTATTGAAACTTTGAAAATGTTTTGATATTATTCTTGCATTTAAAAGTCCTTTCTACTGGTCAACATCCTGCATATGTTCCTTCGAATATTGTCATCACTAATAGACATCTTTATGTGAAAATAATTCAACCATAGTTGATGTTTATTGACAATGATATGGAAGTTTGTGACAGATTGTGTTTCTTGTGGATTGGCCTAGGAATTACCGAGAAATTAAGACTAGAGGACGAAAAGATTTTTCAGCTGCCCTCCACCACAAGTTTAACTATAGGCTCTTTGTCACTTAAACGCAACCTATTGACAAAACCAAAAATGCAGAGACTTAGCCAAAAATGTTAGGTTTAGCAGTATTGAAGTGAACTGACCGTATAAATATATGTAGATATAAAAAAGAAAGAAATTAAATCTAGATTTTTGTTATAGATTTTTTTTGCATGGGTGACTCATTGCACGGCTCCTATTCGTCTCTGTTTCCTGCAGAATGAAGCCGCCCTGTGATGGAGTCATATGACACATCTTATATTAATGAGATTAGCCTCATTTTCAGCTGTCTGTCCGTCCATCTGACCCTCTGTGTGGCTGTGCTCCCCCTCCCATCGCTCCTCGGGACATCCAGTCGATATCTGATGTCAAGATGAAGTAAGTGATGACTCCGGCGTCGTTAGGCGTTATGATAGGCCGACACGGTGCCACCAGCCGCCCCCTGCAGCCCCAGCCGCCCCAGCTGGGAATGATGGAGGGTCCCATTTCATCTCACACTTTCCAATGATCGCACTTGTGTTCGGGGGGACAGGGGCGTAATTCAGGCGACTAACCACTTTACAGATACTGTAGAAGGGGTATAGAGGACTTTTGGACATATTTATAGACTGAGAAAGTATTGACCCAAAATTTAGATTCATAGTTCTTGTGTCATAGAAGAAGTAAACTTTTTCAACCAACAATTTGACATTCACTAAATGATGCCCTAATTTTGGACATAAAAATTATAATTATAATATTTACTTTGCATCCACTGGTGGGAGGTGTTTTTTTTTTTTTTTTCTAAACTTGAAAATTACCAGCTGCAAACACAGTAATAGTCAAGTAATAAGAAATCAGCAAAATTAATCTGGGCAGTACTTTTGTTGTAAACAGAAGCACTGCTCTGAGTGTGATGTCATCGTGGTGTCATGACGTCATACTATTACAGGAGTTATAAGATAGAAGAGGTGGACTTGCATGCTTGTGCCTGATATCAGCGTGGATGTATATAAAAACAACTTCAGGTCTGTCTTTTTATGAAGGAATAGCATTCAAACCATATGTACACATTGAATTTTGCCGTTTCCAGCTGCATTGCACCAAAAGTCAGGTCCTTCACACCCACCACATCCAACCTTTTATGGTGCACTCTAAAATTAATTGACGACAGCAAGCACTATTTTGAAAATGAATTCCTGCTTTGCAATTTGTGAAAAAAAAAAAAAAAAACAGTTCCATAGTAGCCTGCTCGTACCACACCATAGTACAAATTACATTTCGTACATGCAGGGAAATGATGATTGACCCAGGCTAGTGCCATAGTAGTTCTAACCAAACAAATTACCCAAAAAGAGGAAAGCGTGTGGAGAATAACATTGAAACACCAGTTTCTTAATTCAAGTTGTTTTCCAAGGTTTAAATGAATAAATAATTTCAATTTTTTTCCTAGATGTTTGCAAATTAAACTCCAAAACAAGACTGAATCAAAATGCGGTCAAATAATTTCAGCTTTCATGGAAACTATTTTTACATATTTGTTTTTAAGTTTAATTTGAAAGTAACTGTTAAAGAACCACTGAACATTGAAATATCCAAATAAAGAATAAAGACAGTATGCAAGTATTGAAACTATAGACCTATAGAACTGAATCCCATACCGCTTTTCGGGTTAGGTGCTCGCTGCCGTAGAAGCTGTCGGCGTTACTGTTGGCAAAGTTGGCAAACTGTGTTTTTACAACGTGTCGAGTCCCAAAGAGAAGGCGAAGGAAACGTGTTGCAAGTTTGAAGCCTCAAGGAACACCGGCCTCAGTGTTTTTAATGCACTAAAACGTTTGAAATGGTTGCTTGAAGAACTGCACTATTTAAATGAATGGGATTTGAGGAATATGAGCTTTTTCCCAGTTGAATTTTCCAAATCAACCAATAAAGTGTTAAACCTGTTAAAGCTTTGCATTTGTACATGTTAGCATCTATGAAGGTTTATGGAAGCTAATATTAGGCTGTTTTATATTGTGTGCCTTAGATTAATAACATCATGGTATTGTGCAAGTAGCCAAGCCATGTTTCCTACATGAGCTCGGAGAGGGCTATATACATTCATATTACTTACTCACTACTTACTGTCAATGATCAGAAATAAGATAACTATTATTTATCTTTGATGAGTAACTAATTGATACTGTTTGAATCAGTCCCTTTCCTTCTCTTGTCTCTGCCTCTGTAGACGTTCTTATGTTCCCTATAGACACTGGCATCTCTCACACAGAGGAGGCTCGTCTCTACCAACCACAGATATAGCGTTTGAATGAATCAAACTATAATGTTTCCAGGATTTGCACAGAGATGTTGCAGGTGTGGCCCGAGCCTGCAGCGAGAGAGAGGGTCTGTAAGGTTAATGAATGATGAGATCACTATCCTCCGACACATGAAGGTCGGCTCCAATGAATTTCACTATTTATTCAAATGATCTTTTTTCAGAATGAGCTGTTGGCGGCAGGATGTTGAAACGGTTTGTGTGTACGATGAGAATGTAAGGTAGTGTCCCAGGTGTAAGCTTTGGGGGATATATATGTTATCGGTGATTAGCCTTAAAGAAGATCTCAAACTTTCATTACGTTCTATGTTGTGTGTTTTGTGTCTATGTCTGTAAAAGGTTTTGTTTTGTTTGTACTGTATGTCTCCTGTATACTATATTTATACTATATTATTTGCTATAATCTGGCATATTAACATTGTATTTAGAGATATTATATGAAAATAAATAGAATAGACTGCACTTCTGTATGTACAAAGTGACTGTTGTGCATCACTCCAAATGCGAGGAAACCATAATTTATATATATATTTTTAAATGCACTGGAAACAGCAGCAAGTCCTACGTAGCTCTGAAACAGTTGTTTTGTGCTTTACATTTGTTATTTTTCCTGATTTTTCTAGTTGTAAATCTTTCTGCAGTACAGTGCTCATAGTTTTACACTGATCAGCAATCATCAGGACACAGATTGACACGCACGGCTGTTCCACTTCCACTGCTGTGACTTTTGTACACATTGTTAGTCATTTTTAGAATTATGTATTTATTTGTTTTTATGGATGGATATATTTCTTCTATATATATATATAATAAATAAATATATATATATATATACAGTATATATTTAAATATCTATCATATAATAGTAATACAATTATGCACATATATCTACGTATACAGTTCATATTAAAAAAACAGCAACTGATGCATCAGTCTCATTTGTGTCCAAGCACACCCATGATTGTGTATCCATGTTGTTATAACTTGGCAACGCTGCCCCTGCTTTCCACATAACAAGACATGAAGACATGTTTTTACATAGATATATCAAGTATTTACACATTGACATGTGGAAAATAACATTTCAAATGATAATATTACACTCAAGCTGAGAGATCAGTTATTTTGTAATTCACATACAAACTGTGGTCGTCTGGAGTGTGGTCTGTGGACAATAATAGCAAAGCCCATGACAGTGGTCCCCAACTGGGGGTCGGGACCCAAAGTGGGTCACGAGGCCGACCACCCCCACCCCACCCTCTGGCAATTGCATCAAGTACACTTGCAAATGTGCCCATAATGCAAGTTGTTATACTTAAATTGGATTAAGAAAAACGATATTTAGACAAATGTACTTATATTTGCCTATTTCGTTGATTCCAGAGTCTGTTTTAGTTATTTTGTTCACATTCTAGCTTTTTAAGGTTTGCTTTACTGAAATTAATCCTCTGCATTTGACCCATACGTCAATGCCCTTAGGGCCTCTGTCAGGAGCAGTAGTCGCCACAGTTCAGGGGGGACCCCTGTCCAGATGTTGATGCTCGGCTTGGTCAGGACCGGAGGAGGTTTTTAGTTTGCCGAGAAACTGGAGCAGCCAGAGGAAACCTACGCAGACACAGAAAGAATATGCAAACTCCACTCAGAAAGGCCCTGCTCTGACAGGGATTCAAACCCAGGACACTGTTCCATTGCTTTATGATAGATAGATTAGGGGGGCGCCAGTAGCTCAGTTGGTAGAGCATTGGCCTTTGAGCCAGAGGGTCATGGGTTCGAGCCCGATTTTCACCATTGACTCCCACTGTCTGCTGTCGTTGTGTCCTTGGCAAGACACTTAACCTCTGGGAACACCAGCCACAGTGGGGCGGCTGCAGCTGTAAAGTGCCAAACTGCCGTTGTGTCCTTAGGCAAGACACTTTACATTGCCTAGAATGAGTCTGGTGTGTGTGTGAATGGTTGGTGGTGGTCGGAGGGGCAGATGGCACATACTGGTTGCCTCGCTTCTGTCTGTGTGCCCCAGGGCAGCTGTGGCTACAGTAGTTTATCACCACCGTGTATGGAGTGAAAGAATAATGACATGTAAAGCGTCTTTGAGTGTCCAAAAAGCGCCATATAAAACTGATTATTATTATTATTATTATTAGATAGACCAACATAAATATATAAATAAATTAAAGTTACTTTCATAGTAATAAAATGCACATGTGAACTCAGAGAGATCTGTTGTACAGTCTGACAGCCAAAGGAACAAAGGACCTCTTAAAACGTTCCGTTCAACAGTGCAGTGATATAAGCCTGTTTCTACGATTACTCCTCTGAGCGGCCATAGTGTCATGCACAGGGTGTCTGGAGTTACCCAGGATGGATTAGAGCCCTCATCCTTCTCTGCAGCACAGCTCCCACAGAGTCCACACTTCTCCCCATCAGAGACACATTTCCTGATCAGCCTGTCGAGCCGGTTACTGTCTCTAGAGGTCAGACTGCCCCAACACGCGGCCCCAAAGAACACGGCACTAGCTACAACAGACTGGTAAAAAATGTGCAACATCTGACTGCTCACATCAAAGGACCTCAGTCTTCTCGAGTCTGCTCTGACCTTTCTTATAGACAGCATTGGCCTGAGCTGACCAGTCCAGTCTGTGGTCCAGGGGGACTCCCAGGGGACTCCCAGGTCAGTACTGTACTGTACATTTAGTTTCACCAGTTGATGGAAAGGGCTCCTGTGAAAGTCAATGATCATCTCCTCGGTCTTGGAAGCAAACCATTTCTCTCGCTCCAGTCTGAGGAAGCATCCACCAGACCTCGCAGTTGACAATTTACCAAAAATAAAGGAATGACATTCCCTGTACGGTCTCACGATGACAAACTGACCACTATTGATACTGAGAAATGTTGTGTTTTACCACCTACACGTTTACTTTCATCATATTCTAAACAACTGACCACACTTTTTGCCCCTTTTCCACCAGATGTCACTAAAGATGCCACAAACAGCCCAGTCCAGATCTTCAAAAGTTCCCACTACAGCCTTGAGAGTGACCTATGTGGAGCACCTTCACATGTGTTGCCTGAAAACACTGCACACATTGTCCCCCTGCTCCTCTGTAGCTCCCAGAGTACAGTGTGTATTATTGGTGATGTGTAATTGGTCCACGGCTTCACAATGTCACGTTTGTACATTTGTCTCCCATGG